TCTCCCTTAAAACTTTTCTTTTTCTGTGTAATTGTGCTTCTTGTGGTTTGGGTTGTGTTTGGTGAACGGCGTAGAAGTACAATAGATTTCTTTTTTTCTCTCTTTTTAACCAAAGGCCAAGACAAAATAAGGGTGCATTTAGTAACGTTTTCGTTTTCTATTTTTGAAGTCTTAAGAAAGTAGAAATATGATTTTACTTTCTTGAGTGAAAATAGAAAACATGAATGATATTTATTAACACTTATTGTTGTCACAACTTTGAAAACATAAAACAATAACTGTGTTTAGTAATATAACATATTTGTTACAAAATGTACATAATATTCTTTAAATTTTTATTTTATTTTTTATTTTTTTCATGGCAAAAATTTTAGGAGTTATTGATTAGAGGAGAGGGTGAGGGGAAGGGTAGATGACTTGAACACGAACTCTCGGACATAGGGAGTAACCCAACCACTCAGGCACGACACTTACTTTTATTAATATCAAAAACCCATAAATCTAGAAAATCTAATTTAAAATTATAAATCTTAAAAATACCCAATACATTATAAGTACAAAATTAGATATACGAAGATAAAAACATTCCCACCAATTATGTACATAAATACATGTATATGCATGATGTATACATTTATTATGTGATATATAATATATTTAGCATATGATAATTTATTATGAATAAAAAATATTAAATAATATATCTTATATGTAATAAAATATATATTGTCTTATAATATAGTAAATTAATTATAATTTAATGTTTACATATAATATAATATAGATATGATATAATATAAAATATCTACTGCTTAATAATTTAAAAACATTATATTCTATATCAAAAATTATTTTGTCACAAAAAATAATTTACATTATTATTTAGTATATTATATATTAAAATATATTTTTATCAAATAGAAAATAATATACAATATTTAATTTATTCTATATTAAAAATATAAATTTTTATTAACATTTAATATGCAACTTAGTATATAACACAAATAATATGAATTTTATTTGAAATAAATAGTGCCTGTGTAATAACATTAGTGAAAACTTTTCTGCGCTGCAGTGCCGAAAATATAAGAAACATCATTTTGATGTTTTATCTTTTTTTCACAAAAATTAAAAATATTTTCTGTTATAGAAAAATAAAAGGGAAAATTACATATAAATGGAGTCAAAGTTCCATATTTACTTAGAGGCTGAGTCAAAGTTCCATATTCTCTAAAATGGATTGCTGAGGTGGCACATGGTTTTTTACTGTTTAGAAATTGTGGTGCCTAAAATACCCTTCCGCGAAGGTACTACTTTTTCTTCGAAGGTACTACTTTTTTGAACTGAAGGTACTACTTTTTGGTGTCCAGGTACCATATTTTTTAAACACCCGCGAAGGTACTACTTTTTCTTCGAAGGTACTACTTTTTTGAACTGAAGGTACTACTTTTTTGAACTGAAGGTACTACTTTTTTGTTAGGGAAGGGCATTTTAGGCACCACAATTTTCTAAACAGTAAAAAACCATGTACCACCTCAACAATCCATTTTAGAGAAATATGGAACTTTGACTCAGTCTCTAAGTAAATATGAAACTTTAACTCCATTTATATGTAATTTTCCCAAAATAAAAACATTTTATTGAACGCGATTTTTGTTTTTATTTTGCCTTTTTAAAAGGTTAGTAACAGAAAATAAGAAACGTTTTTCGTTACTAAACGCACCCTAAGGGTGTAGTTTAAAATGACGTCCTATTTTAAAAGGGTACGCTGGTCTTTTCCGTTTTCCAGCATCTAAAGCTGCGTGATTGGGTTAAATGCAGAGAAAACATAGGTTAAGGAAGTTTGTTTTAGTTTAGGGGGTTTCTTGTAATTTGATTATAGTTTAGGGAGATTTAATGCATTTAATATAATATATACATGTATACATACATTTGAAGCAAATCAAATCAAAACGGTGCGATGGTGGGTTCCCAATACTTTCAATCTGTGGACCTCTGTCAAACAAACCAGCTGATCTCGAATTTTGAGCTAGGGCTAAGCATTTATGGACCACACTGCCAATTGGGGTAGTAGGGTAGAACCTCTCCTTCAAGAGGAAGCAAACAAGGGCTACAATGAGCAACGTAACAACAAGGACAGTGCCACGTCCACCTCAACAATTATTTATTATTAATTGTTGGTGTCCTTTCCCATGCCTTACTTGGTTCTCTCACTAATCACATGTCCAACTCTTATGTTATTTGATTAATATCCAATTCCAATACTCTATTAATTTCACCTGACAACCTTTTATATTTAAGTATTTAATCGAGAATACTCATTTTGTGCGTTGTACGGCCAACTTCAACCTCACCCTTCTCCACCATTTTATGGGATCACAATTAATCGTACTTAAAGTACCCTTACTACCAAATTAATTAATCTTTTTCACAGTTTTACTTTATTTAATATTTTGACATTTCATAATAAATAAATAAAAAGTCATTTTCTAAATAATTAGTTGAATCTCATATTGGGATAAGAGGAGAAAATAGAAGATCAGAAAGGAAAATTATAAATATTTTGATACATTTAGACGGACCCACATGAATTCCTCTCATGTGCATCACTTGTAGAGAGCCCTTTCACTCTCATTCCATCAAAGGATTAACTAGTTGAGTAGTGTTTGAAAATAGAGCTGATTCAATTACCCTTGGGTCCTCCAAATTCAAAAGATTGATAATTTTAGAAAGAAAAATAAATAATTAAGTAGTATTTGCAAATTGGGATACAATTTGAGGTTTAAGAAAATCTCAAATGAGATTCCGAGCACCACAACCTTCATTATCACCACCTCTACCGCAATTATTCATTTGTTTTAATTTTTTAACCTCAAAGAGTTTCTGCTTAAGTTAATAATTACACATCACGCCTTAGAGAATAGTCACTCTCTTATTACACCAACGCCCATCTTTATTCACTCCCTCAACATAATTGCACAACCTTAGACACATAACATCACATTCTCCTTTCTAACCAAACACCACCAAACATAAAAAAATTAAATTATAAAATACACAACACCAACACCAATATATATAGATAATTAAATTAACACAAGTCAAACACCAGCCTACCTAAAAAGTAAAAACCCATTTTCACTACTATTAAATATATTTTTTGAATATTTTTTAGAATAATGGAAAGTATTTACAAAATTACCTTAATAATTAACAATGACACAAGTAAGGCTCATGAGACATTTAACAAATTATTTATCAATTTTTTTTTTTTTTTTTTTTTTTAATTGTAATGTTTGTTTTGGTTTATTATTAACATTTAAAAGTATATAACCATTGATTGAGATGTTCAAACAACTCCCCAGAACAATTGGATTTAAATGGTAATATTCACAACTAGCTAAAAATATCTCTCCAAAAAATGCCAATTATTGCAGTGGTACCAAATTACCTATCACAGTCCCTTTCCTTGTTGAGTGCGTTAAATCAATGTCTGTTGGAATGCAAGAAGCAACACATGGAGGGAAAACAACAAGTAATACAAAATAATAATATAATAATTAAAAGGAGAAAAGTTCAAAAAAAAAAAAAAAGATTATCCGGAAGAAAGGTGCACGCAATTCAACACACGCAAGGGACGTCAGGAACCACTCAGCGGTTCCAAGAAACCATCCTTTTTATCCTCAACAATATATTGGACGAGCCTGTATAATGTGTTCTTAAACTCCATTGAAGCTCATGCACACCTATCATCCTCCACCTAGCGATGATAATTAAATCTTCATCACCGACAATTTAAACGGCCTAGATTCTTTATTGGTTCCGTCAGATATGGAGATCTGGCCACTCAATTGAGATCTCTCAATCTGACTTCAGCTGGTGTGTTTGGGATCTAGTACAGACAGAACCACCCTCCAATCTTGTGAAGCACAAAATTTGGACCGTCCATTTTTAGTTTGTCCCCCTATTATACATTTCAAGCCTATAAAAATTGGAAATAGGTTATTCCAATGTAGGACAAGAGGTTTCACGGGCGTTGACAGAGATTTGAGAGTTAGTTCTTGACGTTTTGCTTTCAAAACGTACTCTTGACTTAAATTATATGTATTTTATGGGACCAATATACATGGTCTAAAAAGAAAAAAAAAAAAAGGATAAAAGAGAATCCTCAAATGTAAATTGAAATTGAAAATGATCTTATAAGTTTATCAAATTATTGTTAATTTGTTTTTTAGTTCATAACAAGTATTTCAAATAAGACCTAAAATTAAATGATTGCACATTAATTAAATCAGATTAATTATAGCATATTCATTGTGAAACTAATTTATTTTTTGTTTTAACTAGTTCGTTTTTTTATGAAGTTCAGTTTCAATTTGATTTGAGTTGATTCTATACTAATGAACTCTAAAACATTTTTTATACAATGTATTTATTTTCTAGTATTTTTAATGATTTTTTAATTAAAAATGTCATACTTTTTTTTAGAATTAATTAAAAAAAATTTATATACATATTTATATATTTACAATCTACAATCAAATTTATTGTTGTTTAATCTCTTTTAGTTTAACAAATGTCAAAACTCAAGCTTGGAACTTTTTTTCTTTTCTTTCTGGGAAGGTGAAACAAGCTTTGAATTTGATTCTAGACATGTGGGTTAATTTTACAAGTTGCAACAGTGGAGTATCACATATGATGGTGCTGAGATGTACACTATCAGCTCCTAAAAAATGAAAAAGAAGGTTGATTCCGACATCGATGCGTCGAAAGTACGAGCTCAACTCATCTTAGTATTCCCGCTCTATCCTTTTACAACAAAAACTCACATATCCTACACCATGCAACGCTGTCCCACCGGCTCACTCATATTTCTCTAAATCACAACCGTTGAATAATCTCAAATCTCAATCACTATCAAACCATAACTTAATAAACCGCCAAAAACAAGAAAATGTACCATACCTACTAGAAAACAGCCACATAATATGACTCCTACTTATCCTCAACTATATCGGTATGTATCTATATAAATTCTCAGTTCCTCACACCACCGAAACCCTTCCGAGCTGCGTGTGACACTCTGTCTCTTATCTTTCTATCTCTAAGTCTTTCGGGTCGTCACCGGCGAAACCTAGGGTTCCGGCGAGGTATTGAGCATGGCGTTGCTGTCGGATCTGGGGACGCAGATTGTGATTCCGGTGTGCGCGGTGATCGGAATCGTGTTCTCTCTGGTCCAGTGGCTGGTGGTCTCTCGTGTGAAGGTGTCGCCTGAACGGAGTTCTTCGTCGCCGAAAAACAAGAAGAATGGCTACAATGACTACCTGATTGAAGAAGAGGAGGGTATCAATGACCACGACGTCGTCGCTAAGTGCGCCGACATACAGAATGCTATATCCGAAGGTGAGCCTCAGCTCTAGATCTATTGTTTTTTGTGCCAGATTTGTTTGTGGTTGTGATTGTTCTTGTTTTACAGTATCAAGTTTCTATATATTTAGATCTTAGTTTAGTGTCTGTTGGTTTGCTCAGAAACAGAGCAAACGAAAAGGACAGTGAAAATTTGGAACTTTATTGTTTTTGCTGTGGATCCCATCCACTACATCACAAGGATATCTATAGAAATGGGTTTGAAAAATCGGCTTAAAAAGCATTTCCCATTTTGTTATATATGTCTTTCTTTCCTGTATTTTCTTGGCAGTCAAACGGAGCCGTAGGCTATGCTGTGACGGATTCAATTAAGGCTACACTTGACTGCACTCACTCTGCCGATAAATCAGCTCAAACAGTGAGGACTACATGGTCTCATCCAATCACAGCTCGACACACAAGCAAAAATCTGAATAAAACTGACACATTTACTTGCTTGTGGAGTTGTAATTGGTCGGAACATGTAAAAATTTCACGTTATCCATGCTTTTGTCAGTCTTCTGTTCTCTTAATTTGTTATTAGTTTCTTTTATTGTTGCATATATTTCGAAGAGTATAATAGGCCCATTTTTTTTTTTTTTTTGGTCATATCTGTATAAAGTACTTAAGAATTTTGGTATTGATTGCTGACTAGTACTACTATTAGTAATCTACAATATATGGTATTTGATAAATCCTTTAAATGAATTTTGATGAAAAAATATCTTTTATATATATATATGTATATTGGCCTTCTAGCTAAATTTTTTTAGAGTTAGAGCCGAGATAGGAGTGTCATTGAGGGTGAAAAGTGTTCGTACAGATCCTATAATGACAATGGTGTTGGGCCGCGCAGAGAAATATTGTATTAAAGTGAAGCTTTTTTTGCAACAAGACATAAAAATTGGATGATTTTCAGCCTAGATTGAGATGATGTTGCAATGAGTCGATCCTTGTTATACGTTACTCTCAAATCTCAATGTCATAACCCATTGACTGTCAATGTTGTAACCACTACCACAATTTGAGACCATCATATGGATGTGTGGCAAGATAAGAGGGATAAGATAAAATGAATACATTTGTAAGATAATGAAATTAGCATCCATTAGAATTTTAGAAATAGAATGAGTGAAAATCAAGGAAGAAGATTTTGTGATGTGCAGTGGAAGCCACAACTGTTTCCACGAGGAAGAGTGGCATGGTCCACTTTGTGGGTAATGTTTGGGAAATGATAATTTTAGGAGTGCCACAGGTCAAAATAATAAGGAACTGTCCGATGGTTATGTTGCTTAACTGAATTATATTCAAACACAGCGTAACGACAAAATAAAATTCATGTAACCGACCTCAAATAGTTGTAAAAGCTTTATTGAGTTAAATTGAGTAATATTATTGTGTAGTTAAGGCTTTTGCTTTCCATGCTATCAAGGTTTCGATGTTTATATTTGCTAAAATGTTGTTGGAGGTAATATTTTTTAGTGAATTGATGTCTTCCAGCATTAACCTTGGTACTTACAACTAAACGTATTATTTAAATGTGTCCTTACCATGGTTGTGTTCTTTAAGCTTGTTACTTAGTGGTGTTTTGTAGCAGGCGCTTTGCGTAATTAAACTTAACTGGTCTGTAGGGAAAAAATTAAGCTTCATGGTAGAGTCAAAGTATTAGTGTCTTTGATTGGACTTTTGTTTTTAATTTTTTTTGGGATGCCTCTATTACCATCAAATACTAAGTTTAAAACTAGTGTTATTTTGTGGTTTCTGACTTTCTGTCAGAGTGCCCATTATTTTGATTCTGATTGTAAGATTTGGTCCTTGATTTTCTTGCAAATTTAATGTTTTAGAACCATTGCTAGATTATCTTCCCCTTCAAGTTCTGGCTTGTATATGTATTTTAAAATATATATATGCTAGTTGTGTAACTGATAAGTGCTATCTATTATTCACACCATTTTTTACGTTAATAGATAGAATATATCTCTGCAATTTTCATTTTGCTTCACACTTTGTATGTTTTGTAAGCTTTTATAGCTTTTTATTTACAACTCATTTAAAGTAAGGAATCTGTTAATGCTACAGGTGCAACGTCCTTTCTATTTACTGAGTATCAGTATGTGGGTGTTTTCATGGTTGCTTTTGCAATTTTGATCTTCCTCTTCCTGGGCTCTGTTGAGGGCTTCAGTACAAAGAGCCAGCCATGCACTTACAACCCACAGAATATGTGCAAACCGGCACTTGCAACTGCTTTATTTAGCACTATAGCTTTCTTGCTTGGTGGATTAACTTCAGTCCTGTCTGGTTTCCTTGGGATGAAAATTGCTACCTATGCAAATGCAAGGACAACTTTGGAAGCTAGAAAAGGTGTTGGAAAGGCTTTTATCACTGCATTTAGGTCTGGTGCAGTAATGGGGTTTCTCCTTGCTGCAAATGGTCTTCTGTTCCTGTATATTGCCATCAATCTCTTCAAGCTTTACTATGGTGATGACTGGGAAGGTCTTTTTGAGGCTATTACTGGTTATGGCCTTGGTGGATCATCCATGGCTTTATTTGGGAGAGTTGGTGGAGGTATCTACACTAAGGCTGCTGATGTTGGTGCTGATCTTGTGGGAAAAGTTGAAAGGAATATTCCAGAAGATGATCCAAGGAATCCAGCTGTATGCTACATTACTCTCTTGAGTTTCCAAGTGTTTTTGAACACCTTTTCCTTTTTTTTCAAATTAGTTTATATGCTCATTCTTTTTTCTGTTAAGTTAATTTATATGTTTATTCTTGCAGGTGATTGCCGACAATGTTGGTGATAATGTTGGGGATATTGCTGGAATGGGATCTGATCTTTTTGGCTCATATGCCGAATCATCATGCGCTGCCCTGGTTGTTGCCTCCATCTCTTCCTTTGGGATCAATCATGATTTCACTGCAATGTGTTATCCCCTGCTCATTAGTTCTATGGGCATCCTTGTTTGTTTGATTACTACCCTTTTTGCAACTGATTTCTTTGAAATCAAGGCTGTCAAGGAAATTGAACCTGCATTAAAGAAGCAGCTTATTATCTCCACTGTTCTTATGACGGTGGGAATTGCAATTGTTAGCTTTACTGCCCTGCCATCATCCTTCACAATTTTCAATTTTGGAACTCAGAAAGTTGTGAAGAACTGGTAAGCTTCAATTTTCTTCATTTGCTCCTTTCCTTCAAAATAAAAATTGTAGGTGATATCAGTGTTCCAACTTCTATAATTTGCGTTAACTTTATGGTACAACATTGTTGTAAAAGAGTGAGCTGTTTCAGGCCTGGGCAACATGGAATGTAAGACCTTGATAAGTTGTTACTTTTCTTCTGAGGAAGTCATCTTGGTGACATCATAAGCATGGATAAATTATTCATCTGCTTGCTTACCTAGGTTGCAAGTTTATCTAATTAAAGTTGAAATTCTTACTTGAAAAATGGTAATTCAGAGTCAATATATTGATATCTATTAAGGTATCATATATTGGCTTTAAAAATTAAGTTCTCCCATAATAGGATAAATGATTTTTTGCAGTTGATGTTATAAGCTGAAAACAATTTGAACGTACTAGTTTGAGGAGTCCTTAGGGGGGTTCTAGGTAATGACTATACTGACAATTGCAAGTATTCCTCTTTCAAGAATTCTCGTTAGGGGATAATGAGTAATTGGATCTTGAATAAATCAGTTGTATTTTCCTGACAATTGCAAATGATGTACACAATTCTTTAGTAAGTTATCTACTATTCTAAATGGGCAAACATAATTTGATCACGTGTCATTCTCATTCTTGTCTGTCGTTGGACTCCATTTCCTGGAAGTTTTCTTGTTTCCAAGCAATTACATGCCTTACAATTTTCTTATAATAAAATGAGTGTCAAGTCAACGGACAAGTATACCTATAATTCGTTGCACTGTGAATTGAACTCAAGCAATTGATACTGGCAGATTTACATCTCATCTGATTATTTGCATGCTTATTAGGTGTATAAATTTGTAAAAGAAATTGTTATATAAGGAGTTGTATGATTCTATTTTGCAGGCAGCTTTTCTTGTGTGTGTGTGTTGGGCTCTGGGCCGGACTTATTATTGGATTTGTGACTGAATATTACACTAGCAACGCATATAGGTATTTCAAATAGTAACTTCAACCTACTTCTTCCTGACTTACGATTACTTCATTTTCACGTCATTTTCACGTCGAAACCCTTAACGCATTTTCCCCCCTCATAATATAGCCCTGTGCAAGATGTTGCTGATTCCTGTCGGACTGGAGCTGCCACCAATGTTATTTTTGGCCTTGCCTTGGGCTACAAGTCGGTCATCATTCCAATTTTTGCCATTGCAGTCGGTATTTTTGTTAGTTTCAGCTTTGCTGCCATGTATGGTATTGCAATGGCTGCCCTTGGAATGCTTAGCACCATAGCTACTGGATTGGCCATTGATGCTTACGGTCCCATCAGTGACAATGCTGGAGGTATTGCTGAGATGGCTGGCATGAGCCACCGTATTCGTGAGAGAACTGATGCCCTTGATGCTGCTGGAAACACCACCGCTGCAATTGGAAAGGTATCATATCCCCTAAGGCGTTTGTTAATGAACCTTTCTTTTCGGTGGGCAACCTCCTTCCTAGTTCAGCATTGATTAAAAGTATTCTTAAATGCTTATAATCTTAATTTTTGGATGTTGACAAGAGTTGATATTTTTTAGAACAGTTCTATAAATTTATACCAAGGATAGTCTTTATTATTCCCAGAATGGCTAATGACTAAATTGTATCATTTTTGCGTTTGATTTTTATAAAAATGATCAGCTGTTGGCTGGTTTTTGCACCGCAGGCCGTGAGCTACTCTATCATATGTGACACTTGTCAGTCCCTTGTGCTACTTTCTACTCTTAATCATATGTAACTTGTTATTAACCAAAACCTGCATTTGCATCTCTTTCCTATGCTATGCTGGTTGTCAGTAATTATATTTCATTCTACATTTTCTTATAGGGATTCGCCATTGGATCCGCTGCGCTGGTGTCATTGGCACTTTTTGGTGCTTTTGTGAGTCGCGCATCTATTTCAACCGTTGATGTCTTGACTCCAAAGGTCTTCATTGGTTTGCTTGTTGGCGCTATGCTTCCCTACTGGTTTTCTGCCATGACCATGAAGAGTGTGGGTAGTGCAGCTTTAAAGATGGTTGAGGAGGTTCGCAGGCAGTTTAACACCATTCCTGGTATAATGGAGGGCCTTGCCAAGCCTGACTATGCCACTTGTGTCAAGATCTCCACTGATGCATCCATCAAGGAGATGGTTCCACCTGGTGCCCTTGTCATGCTTACACCCCTCATCGTTGGAACCTTATTTGGGGTGGAGACTCTATCTGGTGTTCTTGCTGGTTCTCTTGTTTCTGGCGTCCAGGTAATATAACATAAGACGTCACATGGCAGATTAGTGAATGACTTGGTAACTAGGATTACAGTAGGATCTAGAACATAAACACCCCTGTTCTCCAACTCAAAGAAAACAGATAAAGAAAAAAAAAACATCATAAATTCATAATGTCTTGAAATACTTGTCAATAACCTTAATACCTTGTTGTTTGGCATTAAACTATAGTTTCTGAGTTTGCTTAATGGATATATTTATTACAGATAGCAATATCCGCATCCAACACCGGTGGTGCATGGGATAATGCCAAGAAGTATATCGAGGTAATTATCTGGTTAATTTGGTCATGGTTTTATTTATATTAATATTATATCATGATGTCGGCAGGTTAATTAGTATATTATGAAGATATTGCAGTAATGTTGTTGACTTGGAATTTTTTCTTCAGGCTGGTGTTTCAGAGCACGCGAGGACACTTGGACCAAAGGGGTCTGAGCCCCACAAGGCAGCTGTGATTGGTGACACCATTGGAGACCCTCTCAAGGATACTTCAGGCCCGTCGCTCAACATTCTGATCAAGCTCATGGCAGTGGAGTCGCTTGTTTTTGCTCCCTTCTTTGCTACTCATGGTGGCCTACTTTTCAAGATCTTCTAAGGAGAAGGGTTGCTGAGATAAATATACAAGGGGTTTCACTTCTCCCTTGTACGATTCTCTCTCTACCCTTTGAGTATCTCGCGCATCTCTCGCCAATTCTCCCTATGCATGCATTATCTTCCCTAATATGGGGTTTCAAGTTAGTTTTAGTTAGTGGAACATTATTTTTGATGAGCTGACGATGATGATAATGGTGATGGTAAGAACAAAGATGCGAATTGTCACTCTTATCAGAGAGTAGATTTAATTATGTATTATTTTTTCGGTACTATTGAGAACAGGTAGTTTACTAAATTTACTTTTGTAACTTTCATTTTTCATTAAAGCAAGGAGAGCCTGAACAGACCAGTATTTCCATGGATTGCTGCCATCACTCTGTTCACACTTCACAACGGGGCTAATCTCGTTTAAGTTCCGTTTGTTTTGACTTAAAATATATTTTTTGGAATTTGAAATTTTTTTTTTTTCAGGTAAAATATTTTTTTGTTCTTACTTTGTGTGTTTGGCAAAAGTTTATGTTGAAGTAGGTTGAGGTCGAGTCCTTGAACGGAATATGTAAAAATTTATAAATAAATTATTTTAATTAAATTTTAATATATTGTTTTTTTTCGTAAATATTTTACGACAACCAAACATCATAAAATATAAATGTATTTTCTGAAAAATATTATACGTTCAAACAAATGGAGCTTAAATGGTGGACAGCTTTTGCCTATGGATGGACTGTCACTGGCATTTCACTTATTTAGTTGAGTTGATCAGGGGCCACACACACCCTTTTGTTTAGGTCCGGAGTCACCTTTGAGATGGGAAGTTATTCCATTGGGCCAAATGCCCTTTGGTTTGTTGCTAATATTAATTTCATTTTTTTCTCGAAGAAATAGTAGAGATAATTTAAAATTTTCTTTTGTTTATTTTCTACATGTGACTTTCGATTTGGCTATAAGGTTTTTTTTTTTTTTTTTTTTTTTTTTTTTGCCTTATTATTACTTGATAGTGGTACCCCCATTTGGGAAGTAAATATGTTTATTGTGTAGACATATTTTTCCTGATTTCGTAATAGGCTAAAATGTTCCTCTATTTTTTATTTCTGGCTTGTCTTCTGGAATATAAATTCTCTTTTATAGTATGATTAAGTTAGTTATTATTATCTATTGATTAGTTAAATCATTTATTTATTTATTTAATTCATTTATTAAAAAGTGTTGAAATCAACAATGAATATATCAATTGTAATAATACCTTTATCACTCTTTATGAGTTAATTGCACACAACTCACTAAATTACGGAGTATTAAAAAAGTTGCACGTGAACGTTAAAATACTTGAAATATTGAAAGCTTGAACCTTAGTATTACTTTTACAGGGTCCCCAAAGCTATAAGAAGCTTGCATATTACTTCCTGGAAAATTTGATGATATGCAAAATATTTATATTGTCTTAAGTTTTATTTAGGCTATGTTTGGTACAATATGAGAGAGAAGGAAAAAAAAAAAAAATTATGAAAAAAGAAGAGAAAAAAAATAAGAGTATCATTCAAGCTAAATTGTCATTTGAATAAAAAGAAAGTGTTTAAGTGAATAAAAACATGCCCCAAGACTTCTATGGTATTTTAATTTTCTCTCTAATGAAAATAAGGACAAAGCTAGTAATTAAAAATTTTCATTAAATTTTATAATCATTTCTTTTTATTTTTTTCATTTTTAGAATGACAGCAAAATTAAAGTGTTATTTGAGAACGGATTAAATGCTTATTCACATTTGATGACTTAATTTAAATATCATTAAAAATAATAAACGTTACATAAAATGATGTAAAATTTTAAGTGACACAGTTATGCTAAATGATGAAAATTAAAAAAAAATATATATATATCAAAAAATATTTATTTTTTAATTACCATTTAAAAATTACACACTTGAAATTCAGTTGTTAAAACTTTTCAGTATTTATGCTGTCCCTCCAAATTTCTCAATCTGATTGGACAAACATGATCTAATCTAAAGCAGTGATGCGTAACGCACAACAGAGCAGCGAAGCATGGGATCATGAATTATTGTCATTTGGGGATAAACATCAGTTTCTTCGTCACCTTGAATAGCCAAATCTCAACGCTTTTTGGTGCTCCGATGATGACTAAGCACATCGTCTTATAGTTGGAGTATTCCTTGCTTCATTCATCATCAATCCTATCCTCTCTCTCACTATTCTCGTCTTTTCTTCCAGTCCCTCCAAGACTTTTCAGGTCTCTTATCTTTCTCTGTCCTTTTTTACTAGTATGGTTTATCAATATTCGCTTCCTGAACTGAAACTACATATTTCTACACAAAAATGCAAATATGATTAGTGGGTATTTGTTAATTTAATCAAACTTGTTCATTTACAGTCAGGGAATCAATGGGTAATGCATCATCAACGCTAACTCAATATGATATTGAAGGAGTTCAAGAGCACTGTAACTATCTATGTAAGTCTTCCTTATATACTTATATCTATCTATATATATATATATATTTTCTTCTTGGGTTTGTTTAATTTTGTTGTTAGCTTCTGAATTGAATGTTTTTTTTGGGTAAATTTTAGTTTCCCAGCAAGAAATAGTGTCACTCTATCAGAGATTTTGCCAACTTGATCGGAATGCAAAGGGTTTTATCTCAGCTGATGAGTTCTTATCGGTGCCAGAGTTTGCGATGAACCCGTTATCTCAGGTAGTCTATGGGGAGAAATTTAAGATTAATTAGTTAATTGATTTGTATCTGGTTCTTTTTGGGTGATGTGCTGTATGTGTTTGATAGTTTGCCTCTTTGGCTTTCTGGGCTTTTGCAGAGGTTGCTTAAGATGGTGGATGGTTTGAACTTCAAGGACTTTGTAGCATTCTTATCAGCATTTAGTGCTAAAGCAAATATGCAGCAAAAAGTAGAACGTAGGTGCAATCATAACTGTAATTCGCTTTACAATAAATAGATTACAGTTTTGATGAAATATTATTATTATTTTGGTTCTAAGATCTAAATGAAAAAAATAAATGCACTCGTGTAGTTGACTTCGATATTGTTGTCAATTTAGATGTTTCATGTTGTCAGATTGGAACCACCTCCAATAGGAACTTGCACAATATATTTTTGATGAAAAATTTCAAATTGGTGGACCTGGTGATCTTAACATATATTGTGTTTAATGGTGTAGAATAGTTAAAAATTCAGGATTTGATATCAGTGGCAATTGGGATAGCTTAGTTGACGTGCCTTACTTGTATGATGACTATAATCATTTTAGGTTCAAAGGTTTTCCTTTACATTGGTTAACACTAACACACACATTTTGTAGATATTTTCTTGCCCCCCCCAAAAGGTATACTTGTAGGTATTTTAGTTGAGTCGTACTACATCTACTCCATTATTGGTATTTAACAATTATTTGGCACTTGGGCTAATATGGAATTCGGGTGTTCAATTTTTTTTTTTTAAAAAGGTCATGGAAAACTCATGAAGGAGTGGTGCTAGACTTTGAGTGGATTATTGATAATATTCAAAATTTTGTAAATAATCCTTTACTTGTTTACAGTAATCACCCTATTATATGAAGCACAATCACCAAACTTGTGTTTAAGATTGTGGGTTTTTGGCCTAAGATGGTGGATGGTTTGAACTTCAAGGACTTTGTAGCATTCTTATCAGCATTTAGTGCTAAAGCAAATATGCGGCAAAAAGTAGAACGTAGGTGCTATCATAACTGTAATTCGCTTTACAATAAATAGATTACAGTTTTGATGAAATATTATTATTATTTTGGTTCTAAGATCTAAATGAAAAAATAATGCACTCGTGTAGTTGACTTCGATATTGTTGTCGATTTAGATGTTTCATGATGTCAGATTGGAACCACCTCCAATAGTAACTTGCACAATATATTTTTGATGCAAAATTTCAAATTGGTCGACCTAGCGATCTTAACATATATTGTGTTTAATGGTGTAGAATAGTTAAAAATTCAGGATTTGATACCAGTGGCAATTGGGATAGCTTAGTTGACGTGCCTTATATGTATGATGACTATAGTCATTTTAGGTTCAAAGGTTTTCCTTTACATTGGTTAACACTAACACACTCATTTTGTAGATTTTTTCTTGTCCCCCCCAAAAGGTATACTTGTAGGTATTTTAGTTGAGTCGTACTACATCTACTCCATTATTGGTATTTAACAATTATTTGGCACTTGGGCTAATATGGAATTCGGGTGTTCAAATTTTTTTTTTAAAAAGGTCATGGAAAACTCATGAAGGAGTGGTTGCTAGACTTTGAGTGGATTATTGATAATATTCAAAATTTCGTAAATAATCCTTTACTTGTTTACAGTAATCACCCTATTATATGAAGCACAATCACCTAACTTGTGTTTAACAAAAAGTCACTTGCAACCTAGGACATCTTCAAAGTTATAAATTGTTGTAGTTCAAGGAGCTGCAGACTATTGAAATTATCCTTGTTAACAGTAGGGATATGTCCATAGCATCAAAGGAATTATTTATTAATATTTTCTTTTTCTATTATTTTATTTTATTTTATTTTTGTTGGAAATCATTTTGTTTGTCTGTCCTTGTAATAATTTGGATGTTTCTTGACCATCAAAATGCACAAAAGTTTGATTTTTAATATTTTTGAATTTATGCTTTGTATTAGAATAAGATTGTGCTGTGTTTGGGTATTGTCTGGTATTTTTAGTAACACTTTTAAATGCTTCTGTGTCACAGTTATTTTCAAAGTTTATGATTCAGACTATAATGGGAAGGTGACTTTCAATGACATATTAGAAGTGCTGCGGGATTTGACAGGTTCATTCATGTCCGATGAGCAAAGAGAGGTACTATGAATGTTGCATTCAGTTTTGTGATTTCTTTCAGTGTTTAATTATACATTTTAAAAAGGGGTCATTACCAAGTTTGGTCCCTGATAATGGAGGGTGGTGTGAGGGTTGGACTCTGGATACACTCGTAATCTTTGGTATTATTTGCACAAGGTGGTGCTCTCAGGATTCAAAACCCTTGTTCTCGAACTTTGATACTCCGAGCATTTGTCCATAAATGTTTCACATTTATTGTTGTCTACAATGGCCGTGCTAATCAAGGTGTTTCATAAATAGAGAAACCTCTCATTGGGGCATGAGGTGATCATGTGCCGTATATTTTAGGAGAAAGCTTGTATTCCTAAATTATGGCTGGATGATCCGTATATTAGTAAACCATATATTTTTGACTGCCAAAATCTGAAGCTTGTTATACCATATGTTCTATAGATTTGATAATTTCTATACCATATAAGTCAACCATAATCTTATCATTTCGTTGTTTGATGTCATAGATTGGGTAATTTCTATTCCTTGTTCACCATATTGTATTATCTTGCTGCTTTAGATATTACTAGAGTACAAAAACTTCATCACACCATATGTTTTATGTTTTGTAGGAGGTCTTGAGCCAAGTTTTGCAGGAAGCTGGTTATAAAAAGGAATCTCCTTTATTGTTGGATGACTTCATTAAGGTTTGTTATCATCCATATTGTTTTCATATGACAATTTATATAATATATATAATAACAGAGGTTAGAGGAAGAGATGAAATGCTCATGGGGCAACTTCCTAACTTATTTCTTAGCACCTTCCTGCACTAAATGAACTCTATAAATGATAAATTAGCATATGTTAGGGCGGGGGGTGGGTGTTGGGGGGTAGTAATGTGCATAAAATGATTAGATGCTTCTCCTCTAGCATCTTGTTGGGCAAAAAGAGAAGTGCTATATTATTGTCTGATCTTACCCATGAGAGAATGAGATAATTTAGAAGGGTACCTTAGTCTTAATAAGACACTGTCAAGGCAGCTACTCTGATTAGAGTTTCACCAATTAATGCTATAAGGAGTCGACATTATAATGGTTAAATCTCTTTTCAGGACTGGTTTATCAAATTTCCGAGGATCTCTTTTTAGACATTTTTTCAAGTTCAAAAAGGGTTGTGTCTACATACTGTTTGTTGCATGTCCAAATTGGAATAAGTATGCATCAATTGCACTATCTTATGACTTACAAGGTATATGGTCCAACATGATTATAGTCTTTTAAATTAAGAACTTTCCATCTTTGTTTAATAGATATTACTCCGCTCGATAATCAAATAAGTAGTGAAGACCAGGCTACCATAAGCATGAACAGGATACATGAAATACAGTTTGATTTCAGGAAACCACCAATCATTATGAAAATGTACAGAGTAGAATAAATTATGTCAATACGTCCAGATATGGTATTTAGTTGTAGAATATTTGTGACAAGTAGTGAATCCTAATTTTAGGATTACTGACCCATTTAGCTTAGTCCATATAATGTATTTTTTGGAGCTAGATGAAATGCATGTTAGGTACATTTATTAGTAGGTATGAGAGGTTTAATGTCGGATCGCAAAAGTAGAACACTGGCACAACTACGACACAAAAAAAAACTATATAGTCATCATCATGGATCATCCTTGCCTTTATCACAAATGAATGGGATAAATAAATTGTAAATCATATAATAAGTAGATGCAGTATTATTTTTATATAAAAAGATATATTATATTTGATAAATATTATTTCATGTTAAGTAGATTCAATATCTATTTAGTAACATGAAATTTATAACTTGAAAATCATATAAATATAACAACTGCTGTTCCACAAAGAAAGTTACATGTAAAGAAAGGTGGAACAAAAATACAACATATAAAGGTGTGTGTTTATGTATGCTACTTAGATATGTTAATGTATATACACACACGTAACTTGACGACTCCTCTCCTACTCCAATTCCCAACTACTTCAATGGAACCTTTTTATATATTTCAAAATATAAACAAACTTTAGATGAATTTTATATAAGCATTGAATTTAATTTTTCTGAAGATTATAATTTCTTTTATGCTAAACGGAATTACTATACAACATTTAAGGTCCATTACTCAAATGTTAGCACATCCAAAAAGTTTCTGCTATGTCCAAAACTAAATATTTATACTGATACATCCGAGATGTGTGAGCCATGCATCGAGGAGTACCTGAGAAGTGCTGGTGTTTGACATAGATATGGGCCATATGGCTCTTCCTTACAAGCGTCTATGCTTCTTGACATAGATATGGCTCTTCCTTGCAAGCATCTAGCTTCTTAAAAAAGCAAGTTTTGTTTGCTATTCCAGTTCTTGTATATTTCATTAAACATTGGTTTCATGGAAAAAGACAAATTTGAAATCATTATCCTTCCCAACCATGATGTAAATACTTGAAAAATGTGACTAGCTGCCCTCGTTTTCTATTCTAGGAACTTCGGTTTATTTTTTGAGAAGTTATTTTAAGATGTGGATGTTTTTTTTTTTTTTTTTTTCTGGTTAAAGTGGAATTTTTTTATAGATATAGCGAGAATATACAAGTAACAACAAGGGCATTCCCTTGGAAAATAAAATCAAAGCAAGTAAAATAGTAAACAAACAAGAAAACTGTAACTACAATGATTAGTTACAGCAAGGAAACAAAAAGCCAACTTAAGCTTGTAGTGAGGCAGTTCCAAATTCCCCAAGTTCCATATTTGCGAGAAGTAAAACCTCTCCACAAACAGCCTGGGCAATGTGAGTAGCAGTTCTGAAAAGTCCGTGATGTAGCCTATTATTCCTCTCATTCCATAGATACCATATTGTTGTAGCACAAATTCGTTTTTGTGCCTTGTGCTGTATTCGTTGCTGAACAAACCAAAGAATGAGATGATGTAAAGTATCAAACTGAGGCATGTGCCATCCAAAAAGCGTAGACAACCACTGCCATACATCTTTGGCTAAGGAGCATGTGACAAATAGATGATCTATATCATCTTCAGCATGTAAACAATTGTGACAGATTGCCACGGTAGGAATGCCTCTCTTCTTCAAGTTGACAGAGCATAGTAGCTTGTTCTGAATTGCAAGAGCACAGATCAGCGAAGCTCTAGGTCTCGAGCCACTCCAACACACTTCATACCAGCCAACAGTAGATAACTTGATTCTCCATCTATCCCAGATATTTTTAAGCGAAAACATACCATGTCTCCATTTCAAATGGTTGGAAGCTTGCTTCAATGGTAAGGAAAGAGCAAAATTATTGAATTGCAGCACTGAAGTTGCATTACTTACAGGTAACTGCCATTGCCCATCATGAATAATTCTGGAAACAAGGGCTTGTTTTGGAAGTCCAAAATCCCTATACACTCTGTTACCCATCTTCTCCAGCATACGTTCACCTTGTATCCAAGGGTCAGTAAAAAGGAAGGTAGATTCTCCATTACCAATTTGAAAATCTACATTAGCAAGCATGAGTTCCATCACTTCCAGCATCTTCTTCCACAACAGAGAGTCAGTGTTTTTGTTGTGGTAGTTCCAATAAGAAACTATCCTAGTATACTTCCATTTAAACCAAGCCACCCATAAACACTCCTTAGAATGCAGGAATTTCCAAACTGAAACACAGGTAGCTGCTCCATTGATGTCCTCAATTCTCTTTACCCCAAAACCTCCCTCTGACTTTGGATGTGTCACTCTATTCCACCCTAAGGCATGCAACTTTCAAGAAGTGGATGTTAGCAGTAGAAAATAGTCAAGAAGCTCCAAGGGATCAAAATTTTCAATCTACTGAGAATGAGGGATTTGGATGAATAGTTGAGAAACCCAATCTCACAAAAAAGTCATAAAAGTGAAAAGGATGCAATGTTGGGGATTTTGTTTCCAAAGTGAGATTAAGCTGAAAATGGGGTTGATTTAGAAGCAGCTGGCATATAATTATGTAGTAATAGCAAATATAGGGCTGCAAATAAACAGAGCCAAGTTGAGCTCATTCGGGCTTGGGCTTGTTTGTTCCTAGGTTGGCTTGGGCTTTTGATGGCTCAGAAAGTTGGGCTTGGGTTTGCTCTGGTTGTTTATGTGTATTGTGTTGGCTCGCTCATAAGCTTGTGGACCATGTTCTTTAATAGATTTTATTTTGTTTCATATTTTTTATATTTCACTAAATTGTATTACTTTATTTATCAATAAATAGGTAACAAATTTGTCAAAATAACAAGAAAAATATATAATACATTTGTTTACTAATGAGCCTATAAAAATACCTGTTCACGAGCTTATACACGTCCCGTGTTCTTGAGCTGATACACGTGCATGAGGCGGTCTTGAATGAGCTTGAGCTGTTCATGAGTAGTTTGGTTCATTTGCGGCCCTAAGAATATTATAGCATTATCAGTCATTTATTTGGGCGGACCATTGGGGCCAGCCACGTGTGTGCTTATCATGAAGCAAGGGTACAACAGTTTCATCCCATTAGTTTATGAATTATACTCATCAACAAATCAGATGCCAACTTAGGGTCATATGATTGGTTGACTTTCTATTAAATGGGTATCATTCTACATAAAGAAGTTGATCTGAAGGCTTATGAATTGTCTCGAATTCGTTCTTAGAATGCAAGTAGATTTTACCATTTTTACGCGTGGTTTCAACCAAAAATGATCTCTATAAACCAATTATTTTATTTATCTTTAGACTTCCTCTGAATGAGTAGCACATACATGTTCTTGGATGCTGAGGGCATCCACTCTTCATAGGAAAACTTGGGATTTGTGATCCCAAATAAAAATTTTAGGATCATAAAAACCTTTCCTATATAAAATTTAAAGCTGCTTAATTTATTTTTCCTTTTCTTTACCATCTTTCGCTTATATATTTTTTCATCCAAATTCTGTTATGTTTATCATTATTACTCTGTATTGGTTTCAGATTCTTGGCAAACCAGGCCTGAAATTGGAGGTGGAAGTCCCGGTAGACTAAAGCTGAGACAGTGTTCTTTGCCAATTTAATTCAAGATTAAACCTGAAGAGAACATATGCCCCTTTGTGGAAGTTCATACCTGTATTATTGTTTTTTGTTTCTTTGCTTCTCTTTTTTTCTTCTTGTTTTCTTTTAATCTCAACCAAAAATTAAGAATAAGCAATGTATATTACAATAAAAAATGAGCTTATTCGTAAAGGTTCCATGTAAATACTGTGTGTGTGCATGATGAGGGTTTTGGCCAAGTGTTAATTTTCTGATATATTTGATTCAGCTGCTAAATGATTTTTGTGTGTTTGTGATTTATTGAATTTTCTAAATTATCCTCCATCAAAGACAAAAGAGGAGGACTTGAAGGTAATTTGATCTAAACCCCAGGCTAAATTGAATGTTGGTATTCAGATAAGGTGCTTAAATGCAGCCAAATTTTGCCTCCCAACTTGAAAGGCATTTCTGCTAATTTTAGATTTATCATAGCATCATCATTAACCGCCTTTTACCCTGTAAACTCTGATGCTAAAATCAGAGCCGAAATTCCCACCAATAGGGACAGATTTGGAGTAACGACATTTTCTTGTCAAGTGCTTTGCACTTTCCTATTGTGTGTGTGTGTGTGTGCGCGTGCGTGTGTGTGCGCGTGCGTGTGTACACACACAGTGTGTGTATAAGCAAAGAAACAAGATTTTCAGCTGTGTCTGCAACCCTGAGTTAAGCAGCTTCATTCCATTTTCACCATCATCTTCTCCTACCAACTTTCTCAACTTCCCACTTTACGCTTGTAAATATTTTAGAAAACTTTCACTGCAAGTACCTCACTCTTGGAGCAGAGCTTGTCTTTTTAATTGGGTTTTTTTTATTCTGTTATCCATGATAGACCACAGACGCTTGGTACTTGGAGTGAATTACCATGTGCAGATCAGAAAAACGATATGTTAGAAAGCTCTTTGTATAGAATTCCTTCCCTATTTGAGGTAGATTCGATGATAGGAAACAAGAGAAGGTTTGATCTTTGTACTTCAAAGGCAAGCACGTCAAGTGATAAAGAAGAGTCATCGGATTCAGGGGCTTCTAGTTCGAATCATGTGGCTGGAAAAGCATCAGCACGTCATTTTGGAGGTAAGCGCCATGAGGGTAGGAAGGTGTTGGTGAGTGCTGCTGAAGTTAAACTGATTGATGAGAGATTGAGAAACCTCGAGGAAGAAGCTGAAGTGATGAAAAAATCTTTCTTCGAGAGCATGGAAGAGAGGAAGAAATTGATGAATGAGATAGACCAGCAGTTTCAGGCTATACACCGAAGTCTTCACTCTAAAATTCAATTCACAGTAGAGAGATCTAGTGATGGAATCTTGATCATCAACCCTCATAAGATAAAGGTAGGTTATCTTTCTTGTCCACTGATACAAATAGATGATGGTCTAGCTCATGCAGGCCTGTTCTATTTACCTTCTGCTGCTTTATATATATATATATACATACATATATGTAAAAAATTAATCCTCACTTCCTGTCAAATATTAACATATATGGTTGGAACTTATTGTTTGGCTTGATCTACTGATGTACAGTGTTTCTGTCTGCTGTTTTTGATTGGACTCGTTGTGTTTGCTTTTTATCATTTTTCAGTATTTAATGGTTCTTTCCTCCATATTACAACTGACTGTGATGTGTTAATGTGATATATATAGAATGGAGGAACAAGGACTGGTTTGTCACAAATTCTGCACGAAGAATCGAATCCATCACTTGTCATCAGAGATCTAAGAGCTACATTCTCATAGCATTGAAGTGCCACCTGAAGTTTCATATGATTTTCTCATTTAGATACTGCACAATTTTTTGCCTATTCTTCTTCTACACATGTTTTTTCTTCCCTTCTTGTTTCTGTAACGGTTTTTAGCTTCCTTGGTAGGGTATAATGGTTCTTCTAAAACAATTTTCTCAATAAATTCTGTGATTTCATCCTTTTTTTCGCTTTCCTTTGTACAAATTTTTTGGAATGTATGGAACTTCCCACCATTAAGTGAGCTTAAAATTGTAAAATTGTTGAGAGCCATTTATCAAAATGGTGTCCTTCATATGCAGATTGCATCTTTTCGATATTTAGTTTTGTCAATATTTAAGCTATTTTTTCTATTAAATCAATAATAACTAATAAGTCCATCCATATAAGCAAGCCATGAATTGGGGACTTCATTTCCTTGGATCAGCTTTCATGGAGCACAGTTCTGTGAGGCGTGTGCCCTGCTTTACTTACCTTTGAAGCACACTTGTCTGAGGGGATTGGAGTGGTGGCCAAGGCTTTGGCTTGAGCACCCCATGAGGGGTGGGACTGCACTTGCACTCAATCTTGCAACTTTTTCATGTCTATTAGCTCCTCAATCCTTCCTTGTCGGGTAACTAGAATTTGAGAATGATCGTTTCTTGTTAGTTTTATTTAGTTTTTTCACTTCGTGTGTCATGATGCGAGTGTCCTGAACTATGTAATTTGTAATAAATTTTGGGTATAACTTGCAAATTTCTTAAAATTTAGGAGCATTAATTGCAATTAATTCTAAGGTCAATTTAGCGATCTCTGATACAGAAAAATTGGCTTTATTTACAAAAATTGCTAAAGCTCGTGCTCATGGCATGGGTAAGATGAAATTTTTGTATAATTTGTATGGATTTTTTTCAGCAACAGAAAAAAAGAAGCCCGATTTATTCAATTACTCGCGTTTTGTCGTTTCCATCACAAGTTTTTGGAATCTATACGTAAAGAAACCAAATCCCACAGCTCTTCACTGCCACCACTTGATTCAGCAACAAATCCTCCACGCGTCGCCACCATTCACCACCACGCCACGGTGGCGGCGGCGGTCTCCACCACCACCAGGACCACCGGGAAGGGCCCTCCAAACCAATTCCGAAAGCCGAACAGAACAAATGGAAGTGGAGGTGAAGCTTCGCCTACCTGACTCTGCCTCTCACCAGCGCCTCTCCGATTTACTCTCTCCCTTCCACTCCAAAACCCTACTCCAAGAAAACCTCTTCTTCGACGGCGCCGCCTTCGAGCTTTCCTCCAACCTCGCCGTCCTCCGCCTCCGCTTCTACGACCTCGATTCCCTCTGCGTCCTCTCCCTCAAGGCCAAACCCCAAATCTCCGCCGGAATCAGCCGCGTAGAGGAGGATGAAGAGCCAATCGACCCCGTCCTCGGCCGCACCTGCGTTGCCGAACCCTGGCGGCTCTTATCCATCAATTCTTCAAGAATTCTGAACAGAGTGAAAGAAGAATTTGGGGTTGGAGAGAAGGGATTGGTTTGTTTGGGTGGGTTTAGGAATGTTAGGGCAGTGTATAACTGGAATGGATTGAAATTGGAGCTGGACGAGACTCATTACGAGTTCGGAACGAGTTATGAGATCGAGTGTGAGAGCTCAGAACCTGATAGAGCCAAGAAATTGCTTGAAGAGCTGTTGAATCAACATGGGATTAGCTATTCGTATTCGGAGGTTTCGAAATTCGCAGTTTTCCGATCAGGTAAGCTACCTCATCAAGTGTAGAAAGACAAAGTTTGTGACTTTAAATTCAAATTGTTTGTTTGATAGATAATCGAATTCAAACTTTGAATTCTCTGATGTTTATGTGTAATAATTGTATGTGAATTCTGGTAACATTGATCAATTAATATAGTTCATTAGTAGATGACATTGTCTTATGCTTATTGATTCTGAATAAGAAATGTTGTTTAGTTTATGAACCAGTCTTGTCCAAAGAACCTTCTACATTATATATAAGGCAATGCCTATTTACATTTTGAATTGGGTGATTGCCCATTGTCTCTAATTCAACATATATTGTGAGTATAGAGCTTGACGTCCGTCCAAGAATTAAACAATTTATGTCTTTTTGTTGTACTTATACTTTTCAAGATCAGGTGTTGTTCAGATTACGAAAGTTTCTATGGCTTAATGTCAAAAGTTTCTATGCTTAATGTCTGTCTTAATTGGATCACTGTTTCAAACCATTATTTATCTTGATTGGAACCGTGGCCTTCATTTTAACACCCAAAAACGGAAATTTGAGTTGAGTGCTGCTTGTTGCAATAACGTTTTTATTCTAATTTGGACTTGCAAACACCTTGTTGTGACTTGTCAGAGAAGAACCCGCAAAACCCAACATACATTCTTCCTTCCATTTATTTGTGGAGTTAATGGAGCACTTGGACTTTCTTGTTACCGTTTTTTTTCCGGTTTTTTTTTTCCTTCTATTCAGTTGTACCACGTAATGCTCACTAATCTCAGTCACAACATCATCAACGACTAGGTTGTTCTACTCATTGTGATGCATCTTGTATATGCTATATTAGTTGAATTTTGGGGTACATGGTCTCGAGGCTTTTCGTATATATTTTTGTTGCTTTATAAGATTGAACTAAAATGATGATGCAATGAGCTAACATGCTCCTATTTATGCCAGTCTTTGTATCTCATCAAAGCCCCAAACAAACAGATGCAATTTATTAAATTTCTCTACTCACACCTCTTTGATTTTAAACATGGCGAAGATTTGCAAGGCACAGCAACCTCGGGTGACACACCAATGTCACGTGATTCGAATTTTCTTTATTATAAGCCTCTCTATTGCACGTTGCTCGTCATACGAGGTAGTACCATATGATCCAAATAACAATTATCAAGTGCATTCATTTGGGTGTGACCTCGACCATTGCACCCAAAGTGAAGAGCAATTTGGGTTAAGCATGAACCAAAGTTGCTTCATGACTGCTGCTTTATTCCAAGTTTGGAGATGTGGAATGCCAAGACCACCAGCAGAAATAGGTTTACAGACACTACTCCAAGCAACTCTAGCTCCCCCTTTCTTCAGTTTTTGACCTCTCCAGAGGAACTTCCTCAGGATACAGTTGATCTCTTCCAATGTGCTGTGACTTTATCAATGAGAATCTTGCAGTCAGTTGGCTTGAGTCTTGTAGAAATTAGAGGAACACCAAGGTATCTAATGGGGAGAGAGCCTTTTTGAATCCCAAGAGTGGAAAGAATTGATGCTTCCAGATGTGGGTTAACTCCAGATAGAAAGATATTGCTCTTTCAATGGTTAATTGATATACCTGATATCAAGGTAAAATGGTCAAGTGTCTGCTTTATAACCTGCAGTGAGACAATGTTAGCATGAGAAAAAATTAGGAGGTCGTCTTCTGCAGCTTAGAGGTGCCATTAAACCCTTTGTCAAAATGGAAATTGGGAATGGTTTCAACACCAATTTCTGGTTTGACAATTGGTGTTCTCTTGGTCCTCTTCAGCACCTTCTCACCCATGATCAGCTTTTAAGCACAGATGTTGATCCTAACACTAAGGTTAGTTCATTTATTGTTGGATCTTCATGGAGCTTTCCCCATGTCCTCACAACCATCATTCCACAACTGCTTAACCTCAATTCCCTACCTATCCCAAACCCAGACCAACATGATTGCAGCACATGGCTCCCTTCTCCAAACAGGAATTACACCATATCCCACACAATCTCAGTCCTTTCACCTAATACAAACAGCCCCTGGTCACACCTTAGTTGGTTCAAACATGGAATTCCAAAACACAACTTCATCCTTTGGTGTGCCATTCTGCATAAACTTCCTACCTATGATCGTAAACCAGTGGCCCATTGGCACACTCCAAATCTCTGTTGCCTCTGCTCAACCCATCCAGAATCTCACGACCACATTTTCTTCAGATGCTCATTCACCAATCCCTTATGGAAATTTATTGAAACACGTTGTGCGTTCTATACTCAGCCTTCATCATGGAGGGATCTCATCACTTGGGCAAGTCAAATTTGGGTAGACAATAATGATCCAAGGAACATTGTCCGTAAAATCTGTCTTGCAGCTCTAGTCTACCATATATGGATGGAGCGTAATCGAAGGTACTTCAGAGGAGGAGCCCTTTCAGCGAATGCTTTACTCAATTGGGTCCTTGTTGACGTTAGACAGAAACTTTCCTGCTTCTCTGTGAAAGATTGCCACAATGCCAGACGCATTGTGGTTGAATGGGAGCTTCCTGGTCCATTCATCCGTCCCCCTCCCATGCCGCCAGATTGACACGTATGGACCTCCTCTGCTGGTGCTCCCCTCACCATTGGAGGTCTAAACTGCTCACCGGAATTTTAGTTTTGTAATTCAGATGGTTGGGCCGACTGGGTCTTATTTGTTAGGTTTCTTGGCTTTGTGCATTGCAAGACTTTTGAAAATTTGGGCCAATAGGCTATATGTTTCTTTCAGCCCTTATGGGTTTGTACAGTTTGCAAATTTTAATCTTATCTTACTTACCATTAAAAAAAAAAAAATTATCAAGTGCGTTCATTTTACAAGTTGCAATAATGGAGTATCACATATGATGGTGCTGAGATTTACACTATCAGTTCCTTAAAAATGAAAAATAAGGTTCATTGTACCTCTGATGTTCCCACAGACAGTGATGAGGACTCACACATCCTGGATGCCATCAGATCTCGAGAGATAGCTAACGCAGCCACCAGAGAGCTCGTTGATGTCAGCAACTGTGTTGATAGAGACAACTCCCTGCTACAGAGAAGATTGAAGCACCTCCATCCAACTCTTGACCACAGTTATAAGCTTAGGATGGACAACAACAAAGCTGATGAAGCTATGTACCTGCGTAGATAGATTAAGCAGCTAAAGAAGTGACTCAACAAGCTGTTTGTTACCAATCTTGTGTATGGTCTGGTGTCAGAAGACCAGTATTTACCAAAAGTAGCATGCAAGTTTGAGTTTGAACCATCAAGAGGAGTAGGAACAAACTCACCCAGTGGCGCGTGGGGTGCACCAAGATCACCATTACTCTGTTGAGGGATCAAACTCTGGACAGCAAGTCTGGATGTGAGATCAGATACCTGCTTCTTTAGTTGCTTAATCTCTCTACGCAGGTACATGGCTTCATCAGCTTTGTTGTTGTCCATCCTAAGCTCATAACTGTGGTCAAGAGTTGGATGGAGGTGCTTCACTCTTTTCTGTAGCAGGGAGTTGTCTTTATGTAGGATATCAACACAGTTGCCGACATCAACGAGCTCTCTGGTGGCTGCGTTAGCTATCTCTCGAGATCTGATGGCATCCAGGATGTGTGAGTCCTCATCACTGTCTGTGGGAACATCAGAGGTACAATGATGAGGAAGGTTGTGGGAAGGCTGATAGGGTGGTGCGGTGGTGGGGGGAGAAGGGAGGAGGAGGGGAGGACATCCTTAGCTATTTTCAACTTCTTCCTGAAGGGCTTTATGGGTTTAGAATCTTCAGATAGTGAGAGAGAAGGAAATATGACGGAATGAGTCTTCACGTGATGGAGAGAGACTAAAGAGATGGAAGATGTACTATTGTAGGGAGAGAAAAACCCCTAGATTTCCAAGTATTGTCCTTTCTGAAAAACGCACATGCGCTCTGCACTTCCATTTGTCTACACACGAGAGAGAAAAAGTTGCTCTTGCTCGGATCTCTTACAATCCGGACCGCACATTGTCCCACCGTAATCTGTGACTCACAATACAAATAAAATGGGACGTATATATATATATATATATATATATATATATATATATTATATTTTGATGATTTAATCATTTTTAATTTAATTCAATGGTGTCCACAGATTTTACGCACCAGAAAATTAAAAGATAAAAGAAAAATAACATTGGTAAAATTAAGAGTTTTACCTAATAAAATAAATTTTTTTTAAAATTCACTTTTAATTTTAAATGAATGATGTAAAATTTATTTAAAATGATGTTCCAATGGACTCATTAAAGGACCATCCAACTAATAAACCCATTAATTATTTTTAATTTCACTACATAAAAATAATTTAATTCCAAACAGGTGGTTTAATATATTGATAGTACTATATACCATATGATCCGAATAACAATTGTCAAGGCTGAGGTTTCATCAATAATTGAAGCAGTTGTTGCACCTTATGGGGGTGTTGCATCCTTGAAATAAATATGTTTCATGAGTATCGTATCCTCAATGTGGTATGTTGCACCATCAATTTAAAATGCACGCACAAAACCATTCACTGGACTCGAGAGGATCCTGATACCAATGGGAACACCTTTCTTGCCCTTTCAAAAATATAGCATTTCTGGCATGACCTTATTCTGTTTAGAACTTGTGGACTGAAAAGGAATTTAAAAAAATTTAGCAATCTGTATAGCACAGAAATGATGGTGTGAAGCGCATAAATTTTTAGCACCAGTGTTCAAATTTAGTATTTTTAAAATTTCTACGTGCTTTGAATAATGTAAAATTACAACTGAAAAAGAAAAAAAAAAAAACACACACACACACTATATTAGAAATTTAGAACATCCAATAAATTAGATATCTGACCAAGTGCTCAATCCAAGTGCAGTCACTCCCACTGTGCCTATAACTTGCCAATCTCTGCTCTCACTGTCTCACAGTGCCTAGAATTTGCATAAGAAATAGCAAATGTTAACCTTACTCAAGAGAGGGTCTACAAATTCAAGATAGTTTCTACAGAAAATCATACAATCTAGTAATATTTTAAAGAAATCAACGCTCTGTATGAACAATTTAGACTATTAGATTGCTCTGCATTTGAAAATTCAAGGAAAAAAAAAAAAAAAGACATGAATTTTTTCTAGCTTAAGGTGCTAGGTTAAGTTCAACAAAAGAAGAGGATTTTTTTTTTTTTCATTATTTGAATAACCATTCATGTAAATAAAAGAGCCTATATATAAAATTTAATATAGACTCCACTTGTATAAATACCAGAAGGAAGTTGGTACACAAAAAGAAAATGGAAAATGTCTCTATTCTTAAATTGTAGATGACCAACTCAAGGTATTCTTCTACTTACTACATCTTTAAAAAGATCCATCCCCCACCTCAACCACCAAAGACCCAACTTGAAAAAGAACAAGAAGAAATCAAATAATAATGACATTTCTCACTTTTTCTTCTTAAATGGTGGCTGAGCTTGATCTTCCTCCTCGTCGTCCTCATCATCGTCATCAGATTCTTCATCGTCGTCATCTTCCTCATCATTGTCGTCGTCATCACTGTTATCATCACTTGCTCCATCGCCAATGGCATCAGAGTCGTCCTCGGAATCATCTTCATCGTCACTATCATCATCTGAAAGATCATCATCCTCGTCACCTTCCTCATCATCATCATCACTGTCATTTTGGTTTTCATCACCAACCTCGGTATCACTAGCATCCTTGTTACCATCACCAGGCTCTGTCAATTTTTTAAGGTCACCAAGAGGAAACCTGCAAGAGAATTACAATAAAGATAGCTAACTCATTTTCCACCATTCTCTGAACAGTTAATGAAGAACAGAAAGAGAAATGAGAAAATATTTGCTTGCATATATATAAATAGATACTTGCATATAAATTATAAAAAGAGAGAAGGATTTTCCTACCGTTTATCAGCTCCAATGGTGTCAGAAAGCATATCGATATCATTGCGCAAGGATGCAATCTGAGGAGGGAAAAAAAAAAATTTAATGCACAGATGTCCAGACAAGGAAGTACAACCAGCTTAACATTGAGACCGATATACTTCAGTGACAGTAACATAGAAGTTTCATCATTGACACACGAAACGAACACCAAAAAACTAGTAACTATAATTGAGCCTTAAGAAATGACCAGACTATCCCAAACAAAGATCTACAGAGAACATATATAATGAGAAAATTTAAAAAACTACTGTGAGCTAAAAGAAAATTATTTTTAAAAACAAAACAAAAAAAAAGAACTCTAGGAACAACTCTTTACTGCCTATGAACAACTACGAAAGAAAAAAGAAATTTTAGGGTGCTATTCAATTCTACCACGTTGTTTACTCTATGCGGAAGGAATCCAACACCCGTTGCGTGCCAAACATCACTCATAGAAGAAGCAAGCCAAAATTTATTAGGAACCCTGATGCTTGAATGTATTTTCAGCTAAAGCAACTTGTCAACTAATAGATAGCAGAAAGTAAACCCTGCTAATACCATAAAATCAAGACCAAAACCCCATAGGCTGCAGTTTTAACTTCTAAATAAACCTAGTTCTATATTTTTAAGGGTCCATTTACTTTGATAGTAAACTATTCCTGTAGAAAAAAATCTCCTAGAAAACCTCAAATCCCTCCCCCCCGCAAAGCTAATGAAGCTATTGTTGAAGCTATCGTAACATTTGAAGTAACATATGCATAAAAAAATTGGCGTAAAATCAAAATATAACTGGAAATAGAAAAAAAGATCACCATGACTTGCTCCTTCCAGAAAATACTTTTACCATCCAGACATCAAAAAGGGTTGAGAATTCTAAGTAGAAAGGGTGTAAATTGAAAAGCAAGAAATGGAACAACATCGAAAGACTAGGGAATTTTTGGATGGAATCCAAACTTGTTTTTTTTTTATAAGTAAATACGTAATGAAAAGCGTTCAAAAGGGGAACGCATCCCACAAAACAACAAGACCTAATAGGGCCTATAAACTCTCAAAGAGTCCACAAAATCAACAATCTCATCCATGGATTTACAGATGGAATCCAAACTTGATAAAGAGAAATAATTAAATTAAAGCTTAAACTTTGGCCCAATTATCAACTAGTAAGACTTGGTTCGCATGATCTTTATTGGTCTGATACCAATAATGGAAATTATTTCAGTGCAACAAGGACAAATATGTATCCACAACTGAAAAGTCTTGGTCCTACATTTTTCCAATATATTCTTGTATCACTTTGGGTATATGAAAGCAAACAAAATGTGCACTCATGTCATGTCTTACACCTCATTCTACATTATACTAATTTGATGATGCATAAATTCAATCCAAAAATAAATGAAAAATATCTTGAATCTAGGCCCAATTATTCGCTTGTGTGAGAGCAAAAATGTATCATCCTTTTGTATCCCTGTCTGATTCAAATTCCCTTCCATCCTTTACATAACATCTGCCCCACCTCGCTTCCGTTTTTTTAGGCTGATCCTTTTTCTTCTTCTTATTTTATTTTATATTTTCATTTTTCGTATTGTTATTTGATAAACCATTATAGTATATAAAATATCTGATCCATAATAATTATATATATATATAACACGGTTCAAGATTTAGGATTGCATGTATGTATTTGGCATGTTTTAGTAATAAAATTAAAATAAAAGATATTTTTGTACATTTAACACTATGACAGGTGGGTTGAGGCCCCCTTCCCCAACCTGCTCCTGCCCTATTTAGGTTCTGTTTTCTTCATCTTTACCTTGTCCCAATCCTATTTAAAGTTTTAAACTGCCCCAAACCCATCCCAACAGGCACAAGGCGAAGTCCACCGGCAGTGGGGCAAATTGTCATCACTACAAAAAATTTCTAGGGAAACGTCAATAACTGTTTCCTTATTTTTCAAAATGGAAAAAAGTGAGTTTCAAAGAATTAATTAGTTTGGCATTCAAGAGACAAAAAATCATTAATTTGACAAGTCATTTTGAATTGCTTGCTTTAATTTTGATAAGATTCTTTTCACTATCAGTAATTCATGCACGAATGAACTTGGGAAAAAACCTACGAGCCAAGCTTGCCTCATCATCCCTTTTGATTTTACGCCCTGTAACTCTTCCTCAGCCAAGCTTGCGTTGAATAACAAATCAAGTATTAATTGCGTAAAAAGATAAGTTTCTTATCATTATCATGTTTGTTGGGGTAACTGTGACTTCTCAAGAGAATTAATGACTACCATCTTTGATGCATGACAATACTACCATACAAAGAATTCTTAATCGACCAGTTGCGAGAGCACCGGGGCTGTGAAACAACATATTATCTTGGACTCACACCAAGGTATCGATTACAATTAACAGTTTCTTGCATAACAGACTTACCATCTTCAGGATTTGATCCTGCACCATTGCCTAATACATTAGTGAAACAACCCTATTACATTCCTTTAGTCTTATTTATATTCACAAAGACAGATAAGTCCTATAAAAATTTATCAGGATAACAAAGCCCCACTTTTGATAAATATTTCCAACTAAGTTCAAAATTCTATCAATAATGATTTTTTTCCAACATTGCTCTTTCTTTGGATACCTTTAATGTTATTTTATCAAAATACTAATTATCCCCTTCACTTCTATATTTTTAATTAGTATCAATTTACAATAACAATGTGAAAAAACAAATAGCCACCTAATTAACAATTTCCAAAATGCTTAACAAGTTATTTAATTTCACTAATTGTAGTGGAATTTATTGTAATAATGCATAAAAAGTTCCACATTTTTCTTTTCATGTAGTAATTCATGAATTTGTTTTTAAGAACAAATTATTTCAAAAAAATTATATTAAATTTATATAAATTTGAGATTATGTTTTATTAAAAAAAGTGCATAAAAAAATTATTTGAAATTTATTTTAATAAGAAAAGGACATTGTAGGTAATTCAAACAAGAAAGGGAAATACTGGGGAAAAAAAAGTTGTTAGCGGACGTGGGAACTTAAATGGAAAAAATTACTAAAAGCAAAATTTCGGAGGACTTAATGGCTCTTTCAATTGTAAGGTAGGACCAACATGTAATTTTTCCTAATGTTTTCTCTGTTTGGTTTCTAAATATTGCAGCGTTCATCTAAAACTTATTCATGCTCTGTGGAATAGAAAATTTGGTTTTGAAGGATCTGAAATAATAAAGATGTAAGATTCAAAAGTTTCATTTCTTGTCTTTTGCTCTAATTCTGTTGGCAACCAATCAAAGCATAAAATGCACATAAAATTTGGAAAAAAGGAAAGAAATCAGGAAAGAAAGGGAAAGAAAAAATAAGGCATCCAAATCTAAGTAAAGACTGGGAATAAAATGGGTCTGAATGGACAACAAAATAAAATAAAATAAACTAGAGATGAAGAACCTGATTGCCGATAAACAGAATATCTATTATAATCCAAACATAAGAAAATCCTACATAATGTCTAGAATTGAAAGGGAAAAAAACAAAAAACAAAAAACAAAAACGAAACAAACTAATAACCCTAAATCCAAAAGGCGGCAATATTACAAAAACAAACAAATAATCCTAAATCCAGAAGACAGCAATATCACAAAAACCCAACTCAACAATGTACTCCCTATTTGAAAGCACATCATTATAAGCGTGTTAAAGCTCCAAAGAAACTTCTACATTACAATAATAAATAAATAACAAAACAAACAAATAACCCTAAAACCAAAACGCAACAATATCACAAAAACCCAACTCAACAGAATACTCCCTATTTGCAATCACAACATATAATCATGTTACACCTCCAAAGAAAACTTCCACATTACAATAAAAAGCATATCTTTAAGGTTAAATTTCATAAAAAGTGAGATTGAGTTGTACAAACCTGCAAGAGAAGCCAAACAGGAGATATCTGAGCAGTAAGAGCTGTTTTCACCACCGCAGCCTCCACCACAGCGTAATTACTCTTCACCTCCATTGCACCAGGAACTGTGGAAAGCAATAATCAAAGAGCAGAGTGAGAGCAGGTGGGGTGTGGGTGTGTGGGTGTGAGAGTGAGAGAGAGAGATCTTGTACTCCTGTAGTGAAGGGTTTCTTTTAGCAGTGTTTGGTGGAGAGAGGGGTCAGAAAAATTAGGGCTCGGAATGCAGATTGTGCTTTTGTCTAAATAAAATTAGTGAGATTTTGCTGGTGTCTAAATAAAATTAGCGTTACTGTCCATTTTAAAAATTACTACGTATTAGTAGTATGCTTTTAATTAATGATGAAACCAATATAAAAAATCAATTCAGAAGTCCATTTCGAAAATCTATTTTTATATTTACAGAAATAAAAAAGAAATTCAATTTTTATATTTCAAAAGTTTGATTTTAGGGCCGATTTTCAAAAACTTTATGTTAAATGGCTCGTGTTTATTATTATTAAGTAATTAACTCATATTCACTGATTTTACTCTTTGGAATATTTTTTTTTAGGGTAAAAATGTTAAGAGTTAGTAACTAATTGTTAGAGTGAAGGAGCAGTAAGGAGGGGATAAGGTTAGAATCGAAACTCTCATGTATGAGGTGTAACCCAACTCATATACCGTACTTGCATTTAAATGCAAGTCTTTCTTATTATAAAGTTGTTGTTTTTCTTTTCTTTTTTTCTTTCTTCTTCTTCTTCTTCTTCTTCTTCTTCTTTTCGTTTTTTTTTTTTTTGTTCCCATTCTTTTCATGGGATGAAAGTATTTCCTTTGTTGGATAATATTGAAAATTAAGTATTAAAACTTTTAAGGGTTAAATTTTAAATGCCAAAGTTTTTGAGTAGTAATTAAAAAATAAATATTATTTTAATTTTTAGTGTTTATTAATGTTTTTGTCACTTAAATTTTTAGTTTATTTTAAGTGATATATAATTGGACAAATACTTAATCTATTTAAAATCAAATACTAAATTAAGTTATCAACCCGTATTATACGCCTTCAACAGCCTGTAATGTTTGACCACTCCAAGAGTCGAACCAAAACCTAGATGACAGGCTTTGTACCAACTAATTTAAAGTATGAGGGTTAAATAAAAGAAGCGAAGAAGACAAAACAAATGATATCATCGTATTAATTTGCAATTTTTTTTTTCTTCATGCAAATCACTTACACCTATTACGTCTCAAAAGGACTCGGAGATATCACCAAACTCATTAATGAATTTTAAGTGAGGCTTGAGGGAACAATTGCTTCTTTGAATAAATTCCAACATTAATTCAAAGTTTATAAACTATTAAAAAAAAGAAAAGTCTAAACTAAGTTACAAAATCCTTCTCAACAGGAGTGAAGAAGCCAAAACAAATGATATCATCGCATTAATTCGCAAATTTTTTTTTTTTTCATGCAAATCACTTACACTTATTTTGTCTCAAAAGGACTCGGAGATATCACTAGACTCATTACCGAATTTTAAGTGAGGCTTGATGGAACAATTGCTTCTTTGAATGAATTCCAACATCAACTCAAAGTTTATAAACTATTAAAAAAATATAAAAGTCTACACTAAGTCAAACAATCCTTCTTAACAGGTGTCGCTCTCGCTCTCAAACTCCACGCGCATTCTCGCTTAAATTCTCCTTGCTTCTGACTTAATTCTGCCGTTCTCATGCTCCCACTCTCGAATTCGCTCCCGCCTCGTTTTAGACGAGCAAGGTATTAAATACTAAATATATTCATACTTTTTACATGATGCAACACTACCTTTAAAAAAATAATGATGTTTTAATGTAAAAGTGTTCATAAATTTCGAAAAAGTTTAATAAAATTTAAACTTTCACAAAAAAGTGCATTATGAAGTATTGTTTGGTTTCCACGAAATTTTAACATGGTATAACAGTCCAAGTTCATTCCAAGAGATTGTGACCTGAACCTAAATTTGCCCAAAAATGCCTTAAAATACAAAAATGTGCTCTTAATGTTAATGCAATCACAATGCCAAATCATAACACCACCAAAATTCCAATTTATGATATAATTAAGGTTTCAAAAAGCCATAAAAGCGAGTACTCCAGAAAAGAAACTCTAAAAATCCAATTGCATCAATCAATTCTTACAACATTCCTGCCATAATCCCACACATGCAATGGATTACAATATTCAAACACATCATGATGAAAATGCAATAACTAGACTAATTGAAAGCCACTAAAATGAAGCACAATAGTCAAATAAAACATGCGAACGTAATAGTCACTTGAACAAACATTGTTTTGGAGGCAGATTAAACATAAAAACGTCCTTAAACACATAGCTAAACTGACTTAACATATTTACCATCATCTCATGAACAAAAGTACCAACCCTCTCATACAATCTCATCTATTTTCCCATTTAATTTCTTTTCGATTTTCTCTTAGCTGCATTAACTTTTTTCTTTCCCTTTGTACCACGAGTATTTTGAGAGTGCTCTTCTGTGACTGGACTAGAAGTACCTTGAGAGATCTTTTTGTTGCCCTTAGCTTCCTGGATCATTTTAAATACAACAAGACATTAATCAAGAATGCAAATCCGCTGTGGAAAAACTCTACAAATATATAGTTAATTAAGTTCATGTAATATAAAAATATATATATATTTGCAATTAACAACAGTACAGTGGGAGACAAACCTGAAAACCTAGGCTGCCACAAAAAAATTACAAGTTCAACTCAGGCATCATTATAATCCATCATAATGAGAGAAGATAAATTATGAACTTAATATTTTCAGCACAAAAACAAACCAAATGGGTAAGGCGGAAAAGATGAACAATCTATTACTGAAATAACCAATAACATCAAAAATTAGGTGGCAAAGAGTCCCAAACAAAATCCTCACGAGAATAATACAGACATGTATTGAATCTATACTTCATACTTCCCATGAGATATTTACTTCCTTCAAAATATCACAAACATTACAATATATATATAATATTTATGAAAACACCACCAATATAGACCTATAGTGAAACCATACTTTGTAGGGATTGATAGCCTAAATTGCAGCAAGTACAAGAACAGTCAGCAAAAAAAGCTGATTGAAAAATATTTTAAATGTTGAATGGGAGCTACGAAAAGAATTGCTACTGGCAGATCTTTGCCAAGAAATGAAGTAGATCTTTAGCCAGGCAATCATGTCCCACAAGTCTACTGGCATTTTAAGAGGTTAATTAAGTGTGTTATCAACCCCATAGGTTATTGGCTTCAAATAGTATCCCTGTTTGGAATAGGATATTGGCTTCAACCTGTATTTTGTTTGGACAAGCTATTAGAACTATTACCAAACTATACAATATTGTTCCTTAGTTATACCAGCCGCATTTAACACCATGTAAGGGGCAAAATCTACTGAGATTGGATTAATGGTGTTGGTGAAAATTTCACCATAAGCAGTAGTTGAATTGGCATAACGAAAAAGCTATCCAAGGAGTAGGCCACTGAACAGGGATAACTCTCCCCAGCAAGCATAAAATGCACCAACCCGAGTGAAGATCCCACGTCTACAAAAAAAAGTTAAAAAGAGAACCAGTGGTGTTAGTCATTACTCAAGAATCAATGACAGAAAGTGTGCAATGAACAAGAGGCTGAATATTGTCAACCCAACAAATCTATGCTTCAATGTTTACTTGGAAATTAGGAAACCTACACTTATCAAGCAGACCAAGGGGAAGACTGTAACTAAAATTCATGGGTTCGAACTTTTCAGTCATGCATAGCAAATTTAAATTTTGAGCAATTCATTCACTAATTAGATTGTAATCACAGTTGTTCTAAGTCGAACAAGTTTAATAATAGTGTCTTATAATAAATTCAAATCACCAACATCATACAGAATTGGAGAACGCAAGGATTTGATGCACTAATTAAAAGAGATTGCAACTATCAACATATCATATGTAAAAACACACAAAAAAAGGGCATCACTCGGTTTCCTTGAGATTAAGAACACTAAAGAGATTGCAACTATCAACTAGCCATGCAAGCTTCATTTCACACTCACAAACACAAAAAGTCATACCAGCTTCATTTCTCACACACCCAAACAAAAAAGCCACAGAAGGAACTATTTTTGTATAAGATCATACCAGATAGATTGAATTCAGTCGACTGATACAGTAGCATACGTCACAACAACTAAGGATTTGCGGAATTATGTGACCGAGCATGGTTGACTAATTTATTCTCACATCTTCCGATTTCCTTTTACTTAAGAGTGCTGGTAAAATGATATATAGGAATCCTGGGGTGGTATGCCTTAATATGTCAGTTTTAGGAATCAACTGTTTTGGTTGCCTTCCTCATATGTTTTTGCATTTTAGGTTCATATACCTTTTCAGAATTGATACTAAACCTGCTGATTCTTTAGGGATTGCTTATAATATACAATTGATCATATAATTTTCCCCACAGTCTACATGTTTAACATAAAACCTCAAACAAACTAGATAGCTAACACAAAGTAAGTAGTTCATATAGTCTAACCATAAAATTAACAGAACAAATAAATAGTGATCATGATGCAAGTCAACTGAGCTTACATTTAGTTCCCGAGCATCGCCATCAGTCACTCCAGTCTGTATCTTGTGCTCATGATGTTCATCCAGTCCCAAATCACGCATAAACTTTTTAGCCTGATCATATGACCCCGGCAATGTCTCACCTTCAGGACATACATCCTTACAAAACTCAAGTAAATCGTCGATACATTTGTCAGTCCATCGATATGTATCTTTTATATGAAACAACTTCGAAAGAAAAGTTGACGTGGCCATTGGAGCACCAGGATACATTTCAGGTTCTGCAACCCTTGGCAATCTCTCAAAGCTTCCCTCTCCTACCTCACCTTGTGGCAAATTAGAATTTTGACTCCACAACTCTTCACACTGTTCCGTTTGCATAATTGTTCCCATTGGTACATCTTTCAACGTTTCATTTACTCCATCAACATTTCCATCTTTATTGTATTTATTATCGCCAACATTACTTTCAACATTAACATTACCACTCTCTTGATATCCCTTATCCATGTAAATCTCCCTGTAAAAAGTAAAACAAACAAATCTAAATAAAAGTGATCTGATAATTGATATATGCATCATGTATGCTTAAAAACTCATTTAACTTCTTCTCTAACAGGTGGATGGTCCTTTTACATGCATGGATAAATGTTTGTCAACATATATCCATATCTAATGGTATCTCAACCCCTGGCTTTATCACATTCCTTCTTGGTTTACTTTATTTGGTATGTATGTAAACATAGGCCAAACTAATGACGAAACTACTAAATTGCATTGGAAACCACAAAGAACATGTTGCAGTCACACAAGGAAGAAACTAAGTATATAACAATCCTTAATCCAAGTGGAATATAGCGGCAGCTTACAGTATGCAATAGCAAAAGATTAGTATATGCTATAAAGAACCAACAATGTAAATAATTCCATATTAATGCTTTAAATCCCAGACTAATGATGTCAAGAACAATACTAAAGAAGAAACTAGCATATCAGGCAACAACCTGGCTATATAATAAGATGGTTCAACCATACAATCAGCTGCACACTACATCAAAATAATATTAATAAATTAAAACTAAAAGAAAAGTGATAAAGGAAACTCATATAACATTATGACAGTTTTAAACAAAAGACAAGCTTAGATGAGTGAAAAGAAACAAGAGCTGCTGAGTAGATGAGTTCGGATCCATCAAGATTGGAACACAAATAGTAAAGAAAGAAACTTTAGTCACGTAAAAGAAAAACCATTTCTATGCTGCACAATAACAATCAAATTAAGTTATAATCTTACCAAAAACATTTATGTCAAGATATTTAGTTATAGAACAACAAGGGTAATTTGAGAAAAAATATTTACTTTGCAACTATGAGAAACAAACACAAATAGAATCTCTAGTCATGTACTAATTCCCTCCAAAAAAAAAAACCTACACACACACACATACACATGTATTACTAATTTACTAGTGGTGTGCTATTATTTTTGCTTTAACTGGGATGAAGCCAAGCAAACACTACAGACCTGGTAAACAACAGTTTTAGATTGATCAGAAAAGAAACATAGCAAAGTCGTAGTCTAGTATTCTACCCATATTCTTGTATGACCAAGTACAAATCAAAAGCCTAATCAACTATATAAACATATCTCAATTTAACGAGGAAGCATAAATTACAGAAAACTTAACATCTAATTTGATATGCAGAAATGTACTTGCAAGATGATAGAATGGAAAAACTGGAAACATATAGATGAGAGAAAATAAATGATTATGATTACATACAAAAATTGTATATGCCTCTGAACCATTATGAAGTGTATATGCATGTCCAGTTTGGTCGCCAATACACGCTGATACACAATAAAACTATATATATATATATATATATATATATATATATATATATATATATACATGTGATTAATCGGATATCTATAAACAAACAAGAAAATAATGAAATAGATGACATTTACGAAAAAGAGAGAAGGATGTGACCAAAAATGATACAATATATACTAAACCAGCGTATATAAATAACACACACATATATATACACACACAGATTCAATAAAATACACGATTAAATCTGTAATGATCGAACAGAGTACTAATCATAATAGAATATAACAAAACACGTATTGGAAGGTAAAAAACAATAAGACAAAGAAACTCGCTTTACCCACTTGGCCAAAATGCATAAATTAGTGGAGCAATAAAAAATAAAAATAAAAAATCTAGAAATACATATACATAAAATTTTGAAGGAAAATAGAGAGACCCGTGAAAGAAGAGTACCTATTACCTGTCGGGAAAATGTTGACAAGAACATTTAGTCCGCCTTTTCCACACAAGCACACATACATATCCATGCATTTGCTTCATAAGATATCATACTTGTTTTCCAATATATATATATATATAATTATAGAAGAATTACCTGAAGAGACGGATTGAACAGTTGGGATTAGAGCAGACTGGGGAATCGCTACTAGGGTTCCCACGGCTCCTTCGTGAAGTGATTAGAGTGTACAGAAAGAGAAAAGCTGTGTGTACTAGAGTGCGTGGATATATACAACGTCCAAACGATGTCGTCCTGAACCCACGATCAGCAACGATAACAATTCGCAAAAATTGAAACGACAACGTTACCTTGCTTGATGGCAGCAAAGTTATGGCGGCTTTTTTTCCCGCCAAGGAAGCGAGGGTGTAATGGCGGCAAAGTTTTGGCGGGATTTATTTTCCCACAGAAAACGAGGCTCAAAGACCCGCCGACGAAAACGCAGTTGTAAAAACTCGGTGAGAAGAGAACCAAAACCTATGGCTCTGAACTTCAAAACCAATAATCTTCACAGCTCGTGATTAATCTAAATACAATTGTTATGACTTATGATCCTGAAAACTTACGGATAGCAATGCAAAAACGTATGCTCATGAACGTACAAAAAGCTTTTTATTATTATTTTTCTCGACATAAGATTTGATAGAGCGGCTATTTAAACTTGAAATCCTCATATGACAGTTTTAGTTTAGAAGATTAACTGTTTAAAATTTGGACGCTAAACATAATCAATCCCACATCGTTAAAATATAGTACAATAAACTTCATGCAGGTATGTCTTACTGTCTCAAACTCTCAATTGATTCAGAGCAGAAAAATATGATGGTAAATGCTTTAAACCCATTCCATCAATATTGAAGTATGGCCTTATATTATATTCATCAATAACATTATGAAAATAGTGTGGCTGTGCATCTTCTTCTCTATCTCCAAAATTACACTTTTGACAGCAATCACAGTTCTCCTCCCTACTATTGCATTTCTGATGAACTAAATACAACATGACAGTCCTTCTAAAGCCCTAATTATCATTGTCGTCGTCGTCGTCGTCAATTTTTCCCAATTCCATACTAATCCTATTCCCTCATTCCGTTTGGATAACATCCTCTGGATAAACCTGCAAAACCATAACATGTACCACCCTTAATTTTCCATCATTCAATGCACAGATACTTATTCACCATTATGTAAGTACAGAATTTCATATATAATTTAGTTAAAGATAGAATCAGATATGTAAAACATTATGTGAATGGGCAATTTTGGCGCGTCATTAGCTAGGAAAGTGACTCAGATACCTACCTGACCATGTCTGTCTTCGCTGAAGCTTACAGTTCTGAGCTTCAACTCCCCTCTTCTAGTTGTGAGTTCATCTAATATCTCAGCATCACACATTTCTACTTCATCTTCCTCCTTTTCGAGGTAAGGTGTAATTTCCTTTTCCTGATCGAAAAATTGTAAGTCGATCATACCAATATAAGGACAATAAAGATTGACAATGGAGAAACTAATAATCATATACCCTGAAAGAGAAACTGAGAGAACGCTGCGGGGTCCCAGCAATTTCTTCGTACTCAGCTGCATCGAGTTCCCGCAAGTGGCGTGATTGAAAAAACTTGGGAAGGATATGTTGCCTGATGCTTATGAGGAGGAAGAATAGCAAGGGAAATAGTATGCCAGCTATAGGTATCCATGTCACTCCGAAGCATACCAGAAAATATACGAACTGGAAGAGTGTAAATGTGACTATGTGTCTAAATGGTACTGATTCCACGAAGGAAGCATGAACCCCTTCCAGAACCCTGCCAACACGGTTTAATTTGCATAGCCAAGTGAGAAACTGAATTATTATGGACGAGTAAGAGACTAAGAGTTAAGCACACAGTGGTATAGCAATGTTCAGCAGTTAGCCTCGCAGAAAAGTGTGAATATTTTGAGTCCATTTTGTTGGTCATACCAACACATGAACCAACTTTATTTTATAGATATCAAGAGAAGGTTACGAAATTTCATTTCCTTGATTTCTTGACTCAATATTTTCTGTTATGAACTCCATTCCTATTTATAAATTTCTGCTGCCAAAATCAGGAAACCATTGGGGAATTAGTTCATAACTACATAGTTTGAAATTCCATTTAACAAATTATTTAAGTTGATTAAACCGTGCCCTTATATGCTATTGAATCATTACACTGATCTAACAAAAGTGAACTTACTTGTATCGCCGGTCAGGTGTAATGAACAAAAGTAAAATCCTTTCCCAGAACTGATTTCCAGGGAGGCTCTCAATGGCCATATAGGCAAAATATCCCCAAAGAACTGATGTAGGTATCAGCTTTATCATGGGCATAGCACATATTGATGCTGCCACAAGGAGTGACTGTAACAGGTTGCTTACTCTCTGTTCGTTAACTCGGACAGGCAAGTAGGCTTCAATGTGCTTATCGGGATCAAAAGTACTCTTTGAATTTTCTCCTTCAATTTTATTTTTCATAACTGCCTCTTTCAACTTTTCCAGCTCCTTAACTACCAATGATGTCTGCAACAGATCCATATCATGACATTATAGAAGGAAAATCACAAAACTGGAGTACTCATATGGATAATTTGCAATGTACACATGACAAAACCAAGACATGTGCCCTCATTGAAAAAACTGGGTAAATAACTTCTTCAAAAAATTTAAGAGATCTATCACAATGACTTGAAGTGTAAGCAAAAACTAGTATATCAAATCACAAATTTGTCTTTGCAGGGCATGTATTAAAGGATATGCATTTACTTCAGAAGAATACTACTAGAGTTGAGGTTTCAATGCCAAACATTTCTTCTGAAGGTAACCTTTTCTCTATCAGAGACACTTACATTTGGATAGCTGTCCATTTCTATGAACACGGCTTGCATGTTGCCATAGATTTCAGAGTTGCTAGCTTGCTGTTTTATGCTTTCCTTGGCACTCTGAACCATCTTCTTTCGAATCAACTGCATATCATGAATCACATTATTCAAACTACTAAACCATCTCAATTACCGACTAATTAAAAAGAAATTCCTCTAAAATTATGTAACACCTACCTGCTGCTTGAGAACAGCGAGGCTCTTAGTATGCATAGGGGACTGTGGCAGGACCCCATTTGAAGGAGGTAGTCCAATCAATCCACAAAGCAGTGTCTGTGACCACATATATCAAAATAGAGCACTAATTAGTACGTTAAGAGAATATGCAATGAAAAGGCAGAAAGACTAGAAGTCAGTCATATATACCATAAATCCAAGCAACAATATGTCATAGTGGTAAGCAGAATGGTTCTTGAGGTTGAACTCCTTTTGTTGTGCCATCTGTGAAGCAACACTGTGGTCGAAAAAGTAAAGCCCAGCAATCATGACAGCAGGAACGAGAGCAGCAAATATGTATGCCGGAGGAACCTTCCCCATATCCTGCAGTTTTATATGAGGTAATTTAGTATATACAACATATTGAACTACCCATACTTCAAACAGAGGAATTTTGTCATTCAATCGCACTTAAAGGGAGAGATAAGGCGACATCAATCGACACTGAGACAAATTTGAAGCCACTTCTAGACAAGATTACAGCTCTGTGCCACAGGAGGATATCAGATGACTGATTATGTTGTTCCCTCCAAAACCTGCATTGCTTCAGGACTACTTTCCTAACTAAAAAAGTGTGGCCTAAGACCACTTGGTTTCAAACAATTCTATGGCTTTATCGGTAGCTTTTTTCATGATTTGTTCAGTTTTATCAGTAACTTTTTTCATAATTTGTTCAATTTCCCATTGTTGTAAGAAACTGCTTTTATTGAAATATTAGAATTGAGGTTGTGTCCAACAGTGTAATTTAAAGTGAAAGAAACATAATGAAGGATAAGTTTTTTTTTCCCCCTTTCAGATTTGAATGCTTATAAAAAGTATTGATTTGTAGAAATGAACTGAAAAATGCATAACCATGTGTAAACTCTAGCAGGGACTGAAACATTATCTGGAAATAAGAAATGGGGTCCAAATCTCCAATAGAAAAATGGAGCTGCTTCTATGAAACAATAGATTTAAAAATTGACAACATAATTACCTTGATTACAGTCCAATGGTACAATGATGCTGATTCCCATGGGAGAGGGCTGAAGAGCCTTCTGGGAACTCCAGATGGAACTTTGCTCGGTACACTGAAAGACAGTGCTGTCCACACTAAGACCATTAAAGGAACCCCATAGTCAGCAATGAAACTTCGGAGCCACCCTGTGTACATTAATAGAATTCTAAGGTCACCACGTGAGCACATTGAACAATGGAGTTTAGGTCATTAAAAAATTGGCTTCATAAACCTGTGCCATATCTCCAAGACCTTGCCCTTCTGCTCCTTAAGGCAGTATAGAGGAGGCCAAAAGCAAAGATGATCGCCAGTAATCCGTTTGTGTAAAGCCACTGAAATTGATACTTTTCTATTGCCGGATCCTCACCTTTGGGGGTATTAAACTCACTTACAACTCCCTATGATTCAAAAGTCCACCTAATGTTTAGAATCACATACGATAATCGTCTGTCACAATCTATAATTTGATCTGTTTTCTGATCTTCAAAATACCTTGATAGCCTCTTGGATGAAGAGAACAACAATTAAAATGCCAAAAAGTTCTCCGGCAATTCTTGTAAATCTATTGATAACAGTACAAGCATTGCATATAGCAAGAAAAAACAGCAAGAGTGCTGTCCAGACACAAACCCTGAAGTAAAAAAAGAAAAGAAAATAAACATCAAATATGTATATTCAATTATATGCAAAAAACCATGGTTGAGAAATATGAGAAGGTTGATTAATAGTACCATCCAGCCCAGGCCAAGAACAATGTCTTTCCCAAATCTTCCCTTCCTTTTGCGAAATTGTACAAATAGGTGTACATGATAACAGTGGGTTCTGCAACTCCTAATATTAAAAGAGGTTGTCCCCCGAGAAATGAGTGTATGATACCACATAAAGCAGTAGAAGCTAAAGTTTCTACTGTGCTCAAGCTCCCATCTGCATACAGAAAACATGACTCTTAAGCGCATCAATTAAAATACCAACTGAAAAATAGAAGTGACGGCATTGACACTAAATTATCTTTTCATTTGTGCTCCATTTCATTGCCAATAAAGGAATACAAGAAAAAACATTTGTTAGTTATTTTCAAAAACAAATATACTAGTTAGAGATTTCTACTTTATTTCTAAGTTTAAAGGGAACCAAACAGAGCATTATCCTTATTGAGTCAAGACTTGCACATAATTTGATTGATTAAACATTCTTAAAATTCTGTTAACCGGAAAATATTATTGAAGAAAGAGTAGAGGAATAGTGACAAACCTGTATCTCTACTCAATTGCTCACCAAAGGCAATGACAGGAAGGGCAGATGCGAAGAAGATATAGGTGGTTGGAGCCAATATCCTGGCATCGACAGAGAAACAATTAGCAAACACCCATTAATAATTTATGCAATTCCAACTCTGTTTGTGTTAAACCAAACGAAGGACATACCCGAAACCTGAACGAATGCCACCAATCCAGTCTTGATAATAACACGGTGCTCTTCCTTGGATATCTTTTACAATACCTCTGAATGGAGCTTTAATGTTCTCCATTACTGAAAAGATAAACTCTAAACAATCGGATACTGTGTCAAATATCATACAGTGGGGAAATGCAGACAGACTTTTGAAAAATTCAAGAATGCAATGTCATGAAATCATCCACACCAACCCGAAAACAACAAAGGAAAGAAGAACAAAAGATTCTAATATGGATTCATTTTCTTGAAATTCAAGTTCACAACCATCAAGCATCTCACTATTTTGGCATCCTTGAGATTAGAAGTTCGAATCTCCTTAAGGCCACCTAGGAAATTTTCTAGGCAATTGTCTGGTGCATGTGGGACGGGAATTGCATGGGTCGGGTGGTGAATTATGGGTGCTCTGAGAGGCCCACCACCATGGTTGAGACAAAAATAAAAAAATAAAATCTTATTATTTTATTTATTATTATATATTTGTTGTGAATAAACAATTTGAAGTTCAGAATTTAGTTATTCGCATAAATGAACTGACAATTGGACTCAACAAATTTTTACATCCCCATCTACAACTTGGTTACCCTACAAAAATCCTTCATAGTCAAAGACATAGGAATTGAACAAAGCATAAGGAAACACCTAAAAGAAGTTCCTGATGTTTAGGCTGGCACAAAATTATCCTAATGTGCAGAAAAAAGACTGTATTTAATATTAATATGTGTGCATGTCTGTGTTTGTGTATGTATCTTCAGGAATAGAACTGCAGATTTAAAGCTTCCGAACATACAAATGTTAAATAAATTAATGGGTTTGCATTCAACATTATAAAAATTCTAGTTTTGTATAACTACTACATAAATAAATAAAAATAATAATAATTGGTCATATATAAATATATATATATATGTGTAATTATGTGTGTATATATGTTGTAGCCGTCCACGAAGTAGCTTAACAAGGAATGGAACTGATCGAAGGATTGAAGAGGAAGTAGAAAAATACTTGTCTAATAATAAAAATGGAAACCAAACCTTTTGAAGAAGATTTCAGGAACTTCGCCGGCGGGGAAGTCACCGTTTTCCGGGAGAACGCAGATTCGCATACAGGATGTTTTTTGGTTTGACTCGTTGCAATGTGGAGGCAAAGATCTCTGAGTCTTTTTAAAACACCCGCGCGAGTCTGTGGGCCCATCTTTGGCCATATATTCCTCTTTTCAGTGTCAAAATCAGGACTGACATAATGAGTCGTATCGTTACATAATTCATTTATTAAATGAGTTACACAAGTTGTATTGTATTTGTTTAACAAACGAATTGAGTTTGAATTGTAATTGTCTCGATAATTCAGTGAATTAGTGCCTCCGGTAGACTCTGAAATATCAGACTTCGACTCTCTGCATTTATTAATTTAACTTCTAACACTTCTTGACTTGTAAAAAAATATATAGTAATAAATAAATAAAAAATATTAATTTTGAATTGAACTGTTTAGCAAATACTCATAAATTGACACAAAATGACCATGACGATAATACAAATTGTCACTCCTAACAGAAGCCAAAAGTTGGATCATTCTGTGTGCATAAGAAAAGAAAAGATAAAAATCACCCCATATAAAGTAAAGTTCGCGTACACCTTATGTGAAGTGATGTCCACCTTTCACCTTTACATAATATCGAATTGTACTTATAACCAACTTCTTTCTTTCGTGGATATTGCAACAAATAATGCAAATAACTAATATATTTATTGAGTTTATACATATATATATATAATCTTTAAAAACTCTCCAATGAGTTTATAAATGAAAATTTATTTTTATTTACTATAAATAGTAGAACATTCAAATTGATCACAAGGGGGAACACCAGAGGAGACAAGTTTGTCTCAAGAAAAAGAAAAAAAGTCCCTCTTCACAGGGTGAATTTAGGACAGTAGTGTCATATTCCTAGATTTATATTATTTTAATATAAGAATGGTATGATGCATGTTAAATTGAAAACGTAATAGACTATATATATATATATTAACATATTTTCTCATCTATGTATACTTATCTTATCATTGAAATAATAAAAAAAAAAACACACACACACACACGTGTAACATCAATGTATAAATTTATGCATATATATATATATATATATTATTCTTAAAAATCATGCAACTTTTATTACATCCATTAAGGTTACAATATTGCATCAACATTTACTTTAATGGTGTTTGCATTCCTTTGTTGTGCTGGCGAGTGCCGACATCCATAGCCATTAGTGAATACATCTCCATGACATTGATTCGTGTTTGCCCAACAGATTCCCATTTCTAGGCTGCTAAGAGAAAGGGTCAAAGTTGGCATGCAACCTTGCCCTTTGAAAGACCTACTTAACAACGTACAACTGTATACAGCATATATATATATATATATATATATATATATATAACTGAACTTGTAGTTTGTTGGGCCACGTTTCTTACAACTCTTGCATAAGAAAAGTTTGTGGGAAAGCTTCACACATCACTCGTGAAAATTCAAACACCAAATCAACCCAAATATCTCTTGAGGTTGTTTCCAACTTTCCATGCAATTCATTTCCTTTTGATTTATTTTTTTATTTTTTTCTGTCCTTTGTGTTTAATTCAAAAATGAGAAAAGAAATAGGAATATGGTTTTAACTTTTGTAGGATAGGAATTGAGTTTGTTGTTGATTGTTGAGGACCTCTTATATAATTGAAATATATATTAGATGTTATTATCTGAAATTGAGTTAAACCCTTGTTAAATCATCTAATTAAAAACACTTCTAAAAAAGATGCACGTTTTTTCAATATATATATATGTGTGTGTGTGTGTCATTTTGAGATGAAAAAGACATTTTATTTTTTTGAAATTATTAAGAATGTTACCATCTACATATATAATATTAACTATAAGTTAAGAATTCAGAGTGAATTTTTAGGGTTCTGTTGGACATGTGAGAAGGTAGCCAAGTTAAGGACTAGTCAAATAGAGAAAAAGATGAAAAGAAAAATGTTTATATTTTATTTCTATTATGTATTCCCAAAGAATGCTGTCTTGCACCAATTAAAATTTGATGCATGAAATAGGTAGGACCCTTTGGAAAGAAATAGTCCACAATATTTATTATTATTATTTTTTTAAGTGTATGATATCATTTATTTGGACGCCCTTGTTGTGGTTAGATCAAGCGACAAATTTGGACACTTTGATTTGGACACCAGTAGATTGAGAAGGATTAAAGACTAAATCTAATTCTGATATCAGTTCTTTGTGACCAACAAGAATCTCCAAGTTCTAACACTTGTCTTATATCTAGGTGTGCACCACAAGCACCTAATACCAAGCTTGGATTAAACTCTTGTTAGTCAATTTGGATTACTTTTTTAAAATTTGTGACGGAGTCTTTAAAAAATGTTGTCCGAACCCTTAAAGATGAGGTTGGTTATGATAGATATGTCCAAATTGATCAACAACTATATTCAAGTGACTTGGATTTTTCATGAGCCTTCTCATGATTATACAAATATCAAATAATTAAATGTCGTATGTAACTATTTATCATTAAATGATCAATAGGTTGGTGGCTTAGTAGTATCAGGCTCTTACTTCTTAAATAGAGGTTAGAATTCGAGTCTCAGTGAAGGCACGTGTGTGTGTGAGTACAAATTAAAAAAAAAAAAAAAAAAAAATTGTATCATTAAAAGAAAATTTTGGACGAAAAAGACTGGAGGTAGATCCACCTTCACATGATTCAAGTGGACACGTGACCTTTTCTTGTCAAAAATGGAATCCAAGTGGTACCTAAGTTAGCTGTAAATTGTTGTGGTAAAAAAGTAGTTATCTGGTCGATTGAGAACAAACTCAAAATAGAGGTTGGGCTAACCTAAATTTGTTTTGTCTTCTCTTCATGTGGTGCCAAATAGTTAGAAAACAAAAATTGAAAGAAAACGATGTGAAATCAATCCATGTCATGGATTGTCGGTGACGGAAAATTGTTCAAGTAATTCGTCTTCGTTTGAACCAAGAGAAAATGATGCGGAGAAATCACATAATTTGATATCGAATACATTATCATAGTGACGATCTAATAAACAGTAAAATATCATTAAAATTTATGTTTGTATTTAAGAACACCAAATTGATACTTTAAATTTGAAGTTAGAGAAAATATAAATTTTATTTAAAATTTTAACTCAATTTTATTCAATTTCAAATTCATACTATAGAGTGCTTCAAAACATAGCATGACTGAATTTGTTTGATAATTCGAAAAATAAAATAAAAAACCCATCTCTTGCATGTGATAGAAAATAAAGGAGTAATTGTCATTAAAAAAGAAGGCAAATTAAGCAAGTAATAAAAATTTCATTGTTTGATATTTTAAAAAACTTAAAAGATGAAAATAAGATGCAAATAAAAAGAAGAAGAAAGAGTAATTTTTTGTTATAAAAAAATTGGTAAATTATACTGTTCTCTGTTGAGATTTGGACAAATGCCACGCCGATAGAATATTTAAGGTTTATTGTTTTAATCTCCCTTCATATTTGGTGCATATACTCAACAAACCCCTACCCCGTTTTCTCTACGTCAGAACAGTTAAATTTTTTAAAAAATTGCCCTAGTACACCATAAATGTCTAAAGCTTAATTAACAAAGAACAAATAACGCAGAAATCTCTAAAATTACATGAAAATTCAGACTTTCAATGGTACCAACAACAATCTAAATGATTCAATGGACATCTAAAACAAGATAATTTATAATCTAAATGATTCAATGGACATCTAAAACAAGATAATTTATCACACAGATCCATAAATGAAGATACCCTATAAATAAAAGGATTGATGGCGAGGACTGTAGGTTTTAGTTGATGTCGGCGTGGCCAATTTGTGGTCGACGTTAATAGGACCCTCGTTGAAGATCTGAAGGGTGTCACGTCATCTGAAGACAGAGGGTTTTTATGTACCTTGAACTAAAGAGAATTTTGGAATGTAGCCTTTATAAATTCAATGGATAAATTAGCTCTCGATCATATTAAATTGGGTTAATATTATGAATAACAATATTTGAGCTATCAAATTAATTTATCATCGAGAATTGAATAGTATAACATATATAGAAAGATCTTTTATCCATACCAATCCAAAATTGGATTCCTCATCCAATCAAGAATTTTTTTATTCATTTTATCATTCTTTCTATAACCTACCCTTCGTCTTCCTTGTACTATCATATGACGAATTATTATCTATCCGCCTTCAACTTCCATTAATCACAAACTTAAACAAACACTAGAAGTGAAATAGAAAATAAATTAGTTAAGTTCTAAACTCCATTTTAATGATATAAACTCCATTATATATATATGTCTGTGTATAGCCCAATAACTTGAAAGAGCCAACCAATTAAGCAATTTTCGTCTCACAGCAAGTTCTTATGAACAGACCCAAAATGTCCTATATAATATATATGAATTTTTAAAATTATTTTTACATATATATAGAAATTTGTATATTATGCCCCTCCAAAAATATTAAGGTTCCAAAATTCTCTTAATTTTTTCCTTTTTTTCCTCATTTAATCTTTAAATTTCTTTTTTTTTTTTAAATCAAATTTTCCTTATTCAATCATACTCTAATTCATTTCTTTCAAAATTGTGTCATTTTTCTTCTCCAATTACTTCTTATTTGTTTTTATTCCTTCTTCTACTTCTTAAACTTCTTCATTTTCTATTTTTTTTTTGGGTACTATGCCACCCTGAATTTAAATCCTGGTTCCGCCCCTGGTAGTGGTCGGTGGAGTTGGCGGTGACACGAGAGGTTGAGGTTGATGGTGATGGTGATGGTGATAAATATGAGAGAGAGGAGAGAGAATACTTGATTTTTTCAGTTTATCACTATTTTTTAATCTAAAAATTTAGGGTAAAGTACACCGACACCCCCCGAGATTTTTTATAAGGCCAACCATATACAAATTGAGTCATTTTTGGACAAAGACACCCCCTCAAGTTTGATATTGTTAACAAACATACCCCAATGGTCTCTGACATGTAATGAATTGACATTGTTGACCTTTGACTTTTATATTTACCCTTTGAATGTGGAAATTACCTTTCTGACCTCATCTAGGATTAGTATGCACATACCCATTTATTTCCTTATCTCCTTTCTCTGTTCTCTCTCTTTCTCCTCTTACCGCCCCAACACTAGTCGCCTTGTTTCCCACGACATCGCCGACACTAATTCCACCAAACCACCACCTCTTCATCCTTCCATTTTTCTCTTTTATATACATACATATATATATATATATACAGATACATCCAGATACATAAGGCGGCGGCGAGCTGTTGTCAAGGATTAATCACACCGGTGAATCAAATGATGATGATGATGATGAACTAGAGGCCTTCGATTTGGCTTAGTCGATTTCGTTTTCCGTTTCAGCGATGGCAGCTCTAACATCGCCTTTTTCAACTATGATCGGAAAAAGTAGCCGTAGAAGGTCTCGACGTTCTTGTCGGACTTGACGCCCACCACGATCTCTATAACGACCTGAACTCGGGAGTCCGAATCGCTAACTGGGTCCTTACTCGAACCGATGACATGCAAGAGTACTAAGGTCATTTCATAATAAATAAATACTTTAAGGCCCAATAAGGAAAAAATGGTCGTTTAACTCAATTGCAATGGATTATAATTCAAAAATGGTAAGACCGTTATTTGCTAAGGTCATACAATAATTAGAATGACATCCGGGGGGTAATCTGGTCATTTCACATCTAAGACATTATTATTACATCATTCTAGAGTCCATGGTAGAATAGAATAACCTTAAGTGAGTAGGAAGGGGCAAAAAATGGAAAATAAATATCAAGGGAAGAAGAAGCAGGAAACGACCCACGTGTGATACCCTTGGGGAACTCAGTCGACATGTGGTAATTTTACGCCGACCGGTTTAGCCTTCAACAGTGCAATTGTACACTGCCTTAATACCACGTGTGGTAATTTCACGTCGACTAAAACTTGTATGTTTTCTCCTTATTTGGCCAATCAATACACACTCAATTATACCCACTTACACAACCACTAAAACATTGCTCATTTACCACCATTATACATATATATATATATATATTCACTTACGTAAATCAACCTAAAGCATTGTCAAGTGTGTCGTTCATCTAATCCAATTACAATTGTAATTGTCCAAAACCCAACCATCCAACAACGGTGCATGTCAATATATATATATATATATATATATATATATATATATATATATATATATCCAGAAAATGCCAAATAGCTAAAATAATAACGTTACTAGTTTAAGACCCTTAAAAGGTCTTGATTACAATGCCTTATACAAAAATAAACAAATTACTGGCGCTTTACAAATAAATTGCATTAACTAGGCATTAATTACAAAATTGTCAAAGAATGTATCCGTCAATCCTAACTATACTTGTAAGGTCCGTCTTCAACCACGTCATTGTCATACCCTAAAAAATGATAAAGGAAAGGTTGAGCATGGTGACTTAGTAAAAGTCGCCTAAGGCGTTAACTTTAGACTCCCTTGAGTTGCACAACACACGTTAGGGATGAAAGAGAACCAGGATCATACATTGAGGATGTCATAACATTTAATTCACAAAACAAACCCAACAATGGCATTTTGGCATTTCAATACGAATATGCATAGAATGCAATGCAATGCCCATGACTCCCTTGGTAGTGACCGACCCCAAACTTGGCCCCTACGGGCTCCAAACTTTGTCTCTACCGACCCCAAACTCATATTTAAAGAAAAACGCTAACTAACTTTATTGAGGCAAGATTGATAACTATCCCTAATTCCAAGTCCGGCAACCATTTGGGATCTAGTATAAACTTTTTCACGTCCTACACCGGACCGCGCTCCCTCTAGGTCAAGTTAACACCGGACTCGCGAAATCCGGTTCATTTTTATATAAAAAAATTCATTCTTTGATAAAAACTTTCATTCAACCTCTTCTCATTTCCCGCCATGCAATGCACATGCATCTTTTCTCATCAACATAATCTCAATTTTACTTATATAAAAATGATGAAATTTACATGGCATTCTCAATGCAAGAGCATGACATTATGCATAATTTAACTATAAGAATAACATTCATAACCAATCAACTATAATCATGGCATTACTACTTTACATAACAAGAAACATGCTTATTTATATAATTCTCATCACTTCCATCATACTAGCAATTAATACTTAGAATAGAAAAACATCCATTTATTTTATATAAGCATGCTTAAAACATAATATCAAATCATCATCACTTATCAATCAACAAGTCATAATCTTGCATTCAAAACAAGAATTTCTCTATAAGAATGAACAATATGCTCAATGAGAAGTAAAGTACAAAATATTAAGAAGACCCTACTTCAAGATGCAAGCCAAACAAACCCTTATGCAAAGCCCTAATTTTTGAAATCCTCCAAGTGCATGCATAGTTGGTTTCAAATGGAAGCTCTTGTTGTGTAGATTACAACTCCCTTCTTGGCCTTCTCTCAAATCTCACTCTAAACCCCTCTAATTTGGCCTTGAAGCTTAGAGTATATGAGTGTATGTATAGATATATAGAGAGAAAGAGAAAGTTGGAGAGAGATTAGCTGAGAAAATGAGGAAGAAATGGTTGACAACTTAAAAGAAATAGATGTGCTCTTCATCATGCCAAGTGTCACCATGTAGTCCAATTACCTTTATGTCAAAGTTACCTAAATGTCTCTTGGCTTTATTACAATGCCAAGCATGCCCCCAAAATTTCCCACCGTTGTATAGATATAGATATATGTATATGTATGTGAAATGACAATAACGTCCCTCATTTAAAGTAAGAAAATCAAGAGAAGTTCTCAAACCTGAAAATCGTCTCGACTTCCGAAAAATTATAAAATCAATCCCGTCACCTCTAAATGAATTAAAATAATTAAAATAAAATTTTAAAACCCTCGACTCGAGAAAATGAGTAAAACGGCCATTCGGGCTCACATGACATACAAAACGAGGTGCGAGAAATAATTAAAATAAAAATTCAAAAAAATCCAAAAAGTTCGGGACATTACAATCTCGCCTTTCGAGTGCTTGTCGCACAAGCTAATCGTGGATTTAAGGACCAAATTGAGGATTACTGTCATGGGTAATGGAGGTGAAGATGCGTGGTGGCGGCGATGGTAAGTGGTGGGGGTGGATGTAATGTTTCCGATTTTTCTCATTTTCTATTTTCTAGAATTTTCTTGATTTTTTGAGAGTATTTTCATATTTTTTCGTTTTGCGTGCCGAACACCGTGGGGTGTGCCGGGTGTGTCAGAGTGTTGATTGGGACATTTTCTTGAGTTCAGGGCTTGTATAAATACAATGGTCGCCATTTCGGTATTTTTTTCGTTTTTCGGGCCGAAAGGTCTCATGTGAGACCCGTTATCGGTATTTTGTGTACGGAAAATTTATTTTTGGGTCCATTGCATTTTACACATGCTTATTTAATGCATTTATATGTAGATAAATGTTGGTGTGTGGTTGCATTTAGAGGTGGCAATTCGGGTTCGCGTGTCATAATCGTGTCGTGTTGAAGTAGGGGTATAACACTAAACAGGTCAACCCGAACACGACATGATTAATAATCGTGTCACATATCCTAAACCCGAACACGACATGTTTATTAAACGGGTAACACGACACGACACGTGTAACCCGTTTAATAAACGTGTCGTGTTAGACACACCAAACACGACGTGTTTAACGACTTATTTAACATGTTTACCGTTTAACCTGTTTAACTCGTTTAACCCGTTTAACCTGTTTAACCCATTTAACCTGTTTAAAGTGGTTAAGGCCCAAAGATTAAAATACTAGCAAACATCCAAAAGAGAGATTAAATGCCAAAGATAAAAATTAAGTCACAAGTCATAAGTTACAAACTGAAATAAAGATAAATCATAAGTTATTACAGACCGAAATAAAAATATTTAATAGAAATGTCAAGTAACATGCAATCTTCTTAAAAGCCAAAAATCCACAACTCAAAAACTTCCTTCTGGAATTTGCATGCACTCTTTTCTGAAACACCTAAAAGTAGAAATTCCTACAAAATAGGTAAGTGTAAAATAAGTTTAGATAATAATAATTAAAAAAAAAAAAAACAGATTGAAATATAAAAGATTGCATATAACAAATTATGTGAAAAATAAAACAAATGTAGAGGGCTTTTTTACCTAGCTGGATTTTAATATTCGGTCACGCTAACACTGGTGGAACATTGGCCTTCAACAGGGTCATCATTGTTGATATTAAGTTTCATCACATTATCAATCAAGTCATCCATTTGAAGCTTCATTGTATCTATAGTAAAACATACACAAAAAATTTATTACTTCACTATTTTCTGCAATAATAAAAATATAATTTGAAATTTATTATAAGTTATTTACCTTTCAAACCAAAAAGCCAATCCCTCGTGCATACCAAAGCCTCCACATTTTCTGGTTTAAGTGCACTACGATATTGATCAAGAACCCGACCACCAACACTAAACGCAGACTCAGAAGCAACTGTAGTGATTGGAATGCTCAATATATCACGAGCCATTTGAGCAAGCACGGGATACCTAAACTGATTGGCTTTCCAATAGGTAAGCACGTCAAGGTTCGCATTCCTATTGATTTTTGGTTCATCTAAATAGAGTTCCAACTCTGATTTTTGGGCATTTCCAAGCAATTTATCATTCTCAAATGAGTCAAATTCCTACATTTCAATAATTAAGAAAAACAAATAGATCAATCAATGCTAAAAGTAGAAAAATAAATTGATGTAATGAATAAAATAGGCATTAAATGAATTTAATATCTCACAAAAGTATTATTCACCTTCATAACATCAATGAACTTTTTAGTTAACTGTCCTTCATCAACTTGCCGGTTCCCACTTTCATCATTTGGTGAAGATGTGGATTTTGTGGTACAAGCCATAGGAGAATTCAACAAATATTGATCAAAAAGGTTAAACAATGCATCACGAACTAGTGTGCTCTCAATGTTGTTATCACCATTAAGCTTGTTATAGCTAAAAATAACAAACCCAAGCTTGTATCTAGGATCTAAAATCACAGCAATAGCAAGAATCATGCTATAATCAGACCAATACTTTGCAAACTTTGAATACATTTGAGTTGCCATCTTGCTCATAAACTGATCCTTACTATCCATTTCCTCTCGCAATGTCGATTGAACCGAAAACACAGATGGAAAATACAAGTTTGCTGTAGGATACTTGGATCTAGAAAAGATGTTTGTAACATCATAAAAAACAGTCAAGAACTTGTAAATCTTTTCTATCCTACTCCACTCTTCTTGAGATGGACAGAACTTGTAATTTGAATCACTCAACTGCAAATGACAAAAAGCCCGACGATAATAAATGGCTGACTCAAGCATAAGATATGTCGCATTCCATCTTGTAGGAACATCTTGCCTTAACCCTCTTTTACATTCTAAGGAAACATGAGAGACACAATCCAAGAATTTTTGTTTCCTCATTTGAGAACCTTTGACATATTTAACACTCTCACGAATCTTTATGATAGATTCATCAACCTCTTTTAACCCCTCTTGCACTATCAAATTTAAGATATGTGCACAACAACGAATGTGAAAAAACTCCCCACCACTTAATAAAGCATCATTCAAATTGAGTTGAGACTTCAGCAATTCAACAAATGAACAGTTTGAAGAAGCATTGTCTAGAGTAATTGAAAATAGTTTCTTTTCAATCCCCCATTTAGTTAGCAATGTATAAATCTTTTCTGTCAAAGCAACACCATTGTGTGGTGATGGCATGTAAGAGAAGTTCAAAACTCTATTTTGTAAGCGCCAATCCACATCAATAAAATGTGCAGTAAGAGATAAGTACCCATCAGTAGTCAGAGAAGACCACAAATCAGATGTTAGAGAAATCCTACCATTTGTTGATTCCAACATATGTCGAAGCCTACTCTTTTTCATTTTTATGCATCCTTAATATGTCAGCCTTGGCTGTGTTCCTACTTACGGGCTGAGCCTCCTCATTTAAATAACGACACATGTTTCTAATGCCCTCATATTCAACAAATTGAAATGGTAGATCATGCATAATGATAGCAGCACTCACTAACTCGCGAAATTTATTAAAATCAAGCTTAGAAGCACGCATAGATATGGATCCAGATGACTGAGATAAAAGCAACTGACCTATGTCTCGTGTATCCCTCCTAACACACGAATCTATATGCCTCTTTAAATTACCAGTGCCATACCTGCCCTCCGCAATATACTCAGTCCCACACTTCTTACATCTGCATCTTCTTTTCTTGTCCTTGCCGGGTGGAAGTATATCATAGTGCAACCAAACTTTTGATGTGAGTTTTCTTTTGCGCTTCGAGTCCTGTTTCTTTTTCGGTTGCACTTGCACATCTGCATTTTCATTCTGATCCACTTCAAGGTCAATTAAATTAAGATCATCTTCTGATCCACTTTCGTCAAGTCTCATGGCAGAATCCATCTAAATATTACCAAAAATAAATAAATAAATCAAACATATATAATAATTAATCAAACAAAAATTAAACAACTTGACCTATTCACCCCCTTTAAATTATTAAGTGTGAATCACAACTTGAACTCCTTTACATCAACACACCATATAGCATACAACCTGAAATTTCTTCACTTCTTCACGAACCACAGATGATTTGTGGAGGTTTAGCTGGCTTGTCAGAGTAGCTCAGCAGTAAGAAAACAGAGCTTATGGTTATGGGCTTAAGCCGGCCCGTAAAATTATTTTGTGGAGGTTATGAGATTATTTATTTATTTTTTTGTTTGGAGAATTGAACAGAACCATTTTTCTTTTCTGTGATATGACAGAGATTTATATAGAAAACACCATTGCAAGGAATGTAATGAACCAAGTCAACTCGTGCCATTTCTCCTTTATTTTTTATTTTTATTTTTATTTTATTTTTTTATTTTAGTTCTTCATCTCTGTTTGATTGGATGATGAATTATCTGTGAACTGTGATGTGACATTATCATGTAATGAACCAAGTAATTTATCATTGTAGAAATAAAAAATGCAGTTTAAACTTTAAAAGTCAAATTGTTTCTTTTTTTTCAAGCTAGATTACAACACAGTAACAAATCCATAATACACCTTTATTTTTAAAATGCTTAATATAACCTTAAAATGAAAAATGAAAAAAAAACAAAAAACAAAAAAAAAACAAAGAGATAAAGGTTGAAGACGGACAGGGACGTAGAGACAGACTTAAAGTATTTTATAATATAGACTCGAGAATTGAATGAATCGTAGGGTTTGGATTGTTCTTAACCTAATCGACTGAGATTAATAATAAAATGATTAGAGGCAACTACTGTGTGCATATTACTATAATCATCCCCTGATCTGTCATTGATTAAAATAGTGTTATTTTATGGCGCATGTGTTCAGGGGTGTTGTGGCAGTAGATAAATAATACTTCATGTAAAGACATGTGATCTGGTTGGCTTTGCTAGCTTTAAATACAAGAATTTGGTTTGTTTCGTGGACACGAGATTGGGTGATGGTATAGAAGCATGGGTAAACTTGAAAGAGGAGGACATGGCCAAATTTGAAGCTGACAAAGAGCTGCTAGCAATGGTTTCTACTACTTCGTGTTATGGGCTTAAGCTTGAGGCATTATGTTTAAATTATCATGTTTTCTTGTGCTGTGCCGTACCCTTTCTTTGATGTGAGTGAGTTTGCAATGAGCCAAAATCAACATATATATAATGAAAAAATCCGTGTGTCATGGACCCATGGTGAACTCACTGAACAACGGCCATTTTGTTGTTCAACGGCTCATTCAGAAACTTTAAACATAATGTTTCTAAAAAATAACAATAATAATGGAAAAAAAAATAGATAAAACTTGTTTAAAAGTAGATCTGAAAGAAAAAAATTAAAGAAAACTTGTTTTCAAATAGATCTGACAGAGGAAAGACAAAAAAAAATCGACCTCTTGTTGTTTCAGAGTAGATCTGAAAGAGAGAAGACAAAAAAATTAAAGAAAAGTATAAAACTTACTTCGTGTTCTTCGCTGGTTCGCTCGAAGTGTAGACTGTAGTGTTCTTGAACTTCTTGGTCGCTCGAGGTGTGCTGGTGTGGTGTGGATTTGAGAGAGAGAAGGAGTTGTCTGGGTTGAATTTTTCAGAGAGAGAGAGAGAGAGGAAAGAGGAGAGACCGAGAGACTGAAGAGTGAACCGTGATTCTGTGAAGCACTGAAGGCGCCGCATAAGGTAGTGTTCAATGATTTCAATCTGTTGATATAATTTGTATAATAGCCTTAATAGGGTTTCTTGTGTAACAATAAAATGACCAAAATGTCCCTAATAATCAAGTCAAAACAGGTAACCGGTTAGACGGGTTCACGGGTGACACATTTAATTAAACGGGTTAAACGGGTTGAGCCACATGAACCCAAACACGACACGTTTAACTAAACGGGTTATTCGTGTCAACCTGTTTACGACACGAACCCGTTTATGGTAAACTCATTACCCATTTAACTCGTGTCGTGTACGTGTCGTGCTGGCGGGTCGTGTCGAACTTTGCCACCCCTAGTTGCATTGCATTAGTTTGTGTATTAAAGTGTTAAGGAGATATTTGTTATTAAGTGAGCCCCACGAAGCACTAACCATATATTGTATCACCACACACTACTTTGCTGCCATTTCTTCCTTCAGATTCGTGGCTAAGCTTTCTCTCTTTACAAGAATCATTTTTTTCTTTTTAAATCATACTTTTTTAGTCTAAATTTCTCCATTTTACACTTGGTTTTCAACTTTGCCAATGAAGGTAAAGTTGACAAGCTTATCGAGGACATCATTTTAATCAGAGCAAAGTTCAATCTGGTCATCCTTTAGATTTAAAAATTTTTGGGCTGAAAATGGGGTTTTCTTCATCTCTTGAGATAGTGGTGTTCTAATTCACAATTTCTTTTATTCTTTGTAAATTTTCATTTATAAAGTTGGTTATAAGCATACTTAGTTTTAGTTATTTTGAATATGGTGATTGTATTTAGTTGTGTTCATGATGATAAATGATGTAGTGTGTTAATTGAGCCATGAACTTAATTAATTTGTTGTGATAAAAAGCATAATCAATAATAACAAGTTGTATGTAAAATGTTTGCCAATTGCTATGTAAATTAGAGATTATTAGTGTGAAAATAAATGTTTAGAATTTCATCTCAAAATGTGAATATGTTTTTTTTTTTCCTGAATGGGTATTTATATAAATATAAAAGAGATAAAAAACTGTACAAGTGCTTAAGGAGGCATACCTCCTTTTACAAATCAAGGCTTAGAGAAAGCCCAATTCCAGTAAATACTGGACAAAATCAAATAAGACAAAGTCATAGAAAAAACCTTTAAAACACAAAACTTAAGTCCTCTAAACTAAGGGAGAGGTAAGACAATACCTCCCATACAATAGTCCTAGCAATATAGGAAGCTTGCTCTTTAATACCATCATGTAGAATAGAATTTCTCACTATCCAAACTTTCCATATAGTTGTTCAAAACACAGTACTAAGAATTCTTGATATGATTGACTTTCGGATATATTGTTGGCTGAACCAATCCACAATCTGTTATAATGAATTCCATACAGGCAACTCCATGTGTAACAACCCAAACAATTCCAGCCATATACTATTAACATAATGGCACATACAAAATAAGTAATCATTGGAATCTTCATTCTGCCAACAATTATGACAGATAACAGTCAAAATAATTCCCCTTTTCTGTAAATTCACTAAAGACAAGTTTTTATTTTGCAGTATAATATAAACCATCACAGCAATTCGAGGCCTACAATGATTCCAAACTAAACAGCTCCATTGCAGGGTTGGACTTGAGAATCTGCTAATATTCCAAGCTAATTTCAGAGAGAAGTTTCCATGTTTCTACACAATAACATCCTTTCCAGAATTAATCTCAACTCTAAGTATGTCTATAACAGCTTCTTCAAGCAAAAAATCAGGAATAGCCCAATTACCATTCTGTATAATATCAGCAACTTTAAGATTTATATCCACTTGTCTAAGAAGAGCAGCCCCAACTTTCTGAATTAATGTTTGCTGCTCACACCATGGGTCAGTTAACAAATTAAAATCCATGCCATCACCTATTTTGAGCTCAATATTATCTAACAATAGCTGCCTAACACCAATCAATTGCTTCCAAATAGCTGAATCATCACCCTTATGAACCACATTCCAGAAAGAAACTCTCTGTAAATAAACTGCATGTAACCACTTGATCCAAAGTTTGTATTTTTTCTGAACAAAATCCCAGCAGATAGAAATTTTTGTAGCTGCATTTATATCATTAACTCTTCTAATGTTGAACCCTCCCTCTGAAGTAGGTAAAGTAACGTGACTCCACATGATTTGAGAGATCTTTTTTACATCATGTTTGCCACTCCACAGAAACAACTTGAATCTTTTTTCCAAACTATTCTTAACTTCTCATGGGATTTTGAAAACCGAAAACCCAATGATGCAAATAAGAAAATAGAACACACTTGATTAATTCAATTCTCCCTACAATGGACAGATTTATAGTGTTCCAATGAGCCAGCCTTACATTAATCTTATCAAGCAAACCTCTGAAGTCCCCAATTTTCAAACAATTGTTAGACAATGGTAATCCCAGGTACTTGGAAGGGAATTTTTCAATCTGAAATAACAAGATATTGGCCAACCTTCTACTACCCTTAACTGATTTAGAGAAAATGACTTAAAATGTGACTACGACGTTGATGGAATGTGTAGAATTTAATTGTTAGATTTGCGAATTGAAAGTATGTAAAGTGCCATGATTTAGAAATATGAGAATGTGATATTGTGTGAAAATTCATGGTTTAAACATGGTTAAATGATGTAGGTGATGTGTATGAAATTTCTATATTGTCATGGCATTGAAGAAATTGCATAATTCATGCATTGCCATTGGAAAAATAAAGGGAAAATTTTGTTTTAAAAACAAATGAAATTATTTTTGGGAAAAGTTTTTAAAAAGTGTTTACGAAAACCGGATGCCTATGAGGTGCCTAGTGATCCGTGGTGTTAGTGTGGTCTAGAGGGGACTAGGGAGAAGTGTGATACCCCCAGATTCCCGAATGCGGTTGGCCAGATCCACGCCCGAATACCCGAGGATATCAAAACAAATTGATAATAAACAAACATAGAGTACAAAAGAATAAAGAAGAATAAATAAAATGCTGACAAGAAACTAAAATGATAATCTAATAATAAACCTCATAATATATTTCCATTAATTAATAAACTCTTCTGATACAACTGATCCTCCAAAATACAACTCGGGAATCCATACTGTGTGGACCCCTAGAAAATCCAAACTAAACAAATAACAGCAATAACTGTCTAAATTAGAAAACTGAATCACAAAGGAACTCCTATGTAGCATCGGAAGAATGAAGCAGACTGATCCCTGCTCAGCACGAATAACCTCTACTCCTGACGAACACCTGAAAAATAATGGTGGGTCAAGCCCACAAACAAGTTCTACTCTACTACAGTCCAAGCAGAGATCCGATATACGTATACATCCTAGTCAATCCAACAGTAACTAGTAGTCCGTATATATATATACACACACACTAAAGGAACCTCACTAGACTATAGGGTTGTCTCAACCTGAATAGTAGGCAACATGCAAAACGCACATATAGTGGGCATGAATACCTAGACCTACCAGGGTACACAACTACATTATATCTAGTTACACATCCCTGGCGATACACGCACCTTAACCACTGATCCTGAGACTCAAGCTCATATCATGGCACCATACTAATATATATATAATCTAGTAACCATCCTATCCAGTATAAATTAATCTTCCATAAATCATTCAACTTATTCAGCTGACCTGACTTGAATATAAGTAGGACTTAACATTTTAGTTAATCCATTCCCTTATATAATAAATTAATCCTCCATAAGTCATTCAACTTGTTCAGCTGACCTGACTTGAATATAAGTAGGACTTAACATTTTAGTTAATCCATTCCCTTATATAAAATAGGTAGGACTTAACTGATACGTTAATCCGTCCCTAGAATGCTACCGTCCCATACCGGTGCATTAAATCACACAATTCAACAATTGATGTAACGATTAAGGAAATACATCAAACAATCCAGAAATAACTATGATAATATGATATCAAGTTATCACAAAATAGGAATGACTTATTATTTATTTAAGTTTCCTATATCACATGTCCTACATTAACTGAATCTTATACATATGATGATATTTTATTATACCGTCAAATAAACATTCTCCATATCTAATTCATCCTACACATTTAATCTTAATTGTTAAAATATATTAAAAGATTAAATTCATTCGTTTGTTTAAAACATTCAAATAGCAAGCATCATTATGATTGAGTCTATTTAAATTTATTTAAACCCAAACTTAGTTCCTATTTAATGTTTAGGAATCCTAGGCATGTTTTTACGTTCCATCATTCCACAGATATGAAATATACATAATTTAAACATGTAAAAATTCACATCAGAAATCAAATCAAAATCATGCATTTATCAATTCATAACACAAGAACAGATATGAACCAAATTCATAAAACCTATGTTCTAATTTAATTAAACATGCATAATTATTTAATTTTATGTGGTTAATAAATCTTGAAATTTCCTAGGCATGTATAGAAATACGAATAAAAGGGAAAGAGATAGAAGAAGAACTTGCCTTAAACTTTCGGATCGAAAGTTAAACTTCTTCTTCCTTGATCTTCTCTCTACAGGATTTTTTTCCTCCTTCCCTCTCTAACTCTCTCTATCTCTAGAATATATCACGTGAATATTTCTAACCCCCTTTTACAACCTATAACTATATATTTATAGGCTAAATAAAATAACCCTAACCCTTTTTCCAATCCAAGTCAACTTAAAAAATATATATATTAAAATATTAAAAAGGTAAGTAAAATATGTTACGTATATAATTTATGTATATGTTTATTAAATTAATAAATTATACACATTCCATTATTTATTAATGGATTATCCAATAATACTTAAGTTACCATAATATTATAAAATAAGTTAAAACATAACATGTCTCAAATCTATGTATATTTTTATTATTTAAATATAAAACATATACATCAGATTAAATATTACTGCCCAAGTTACTATAAAAGTATTTAATAAATTACTTTTCTTTTTATATATGTATATAATATATATATATATATATATATATATATATATATATATCCATACACAACTATCCATAGGTAATAATCCATACACATCCAACCTCCAATCCAAGTAGTCAATGGGACCCAATTGGTTGGCCCATTACTACTAACCATAACCATAAAAGAAAAATAAAATAAAATAATAAAAGAAAAGAAAACATTTAATTTATAATTAATCAAAATACCATTTAAGCACATAACCTAATTAAACAATTAACACATAGACAAATACAAATAATGCATAGACACATAATCAAATAATTAAGTAATACCTAATTCAATTAAACACATAAGCAATTAGTCAAATAATCAATTAAATAACTAAAAATATAATTAAAACAAATAAATAAATACCGAGACTATCCTTTTAAAATTAGGGGTATTACAAGAAACCCTAGCGTGGTTGAGCTAACTAGGCCGGATACGACGCCTTGGAGGTGCCTTGCGGTCATGGATGGTTAGCTAATCCTCCTTTCGTAACGCTTTGGAGGTGCCTTGGGTCGGATTACACTAACGATTTGAAAGGTGAAATGGTAGTGTTTCGAATATGGGGAACGACATTGCATGACATGGCATTTCATTGACATACATTGCACACTTGGTGATTGGACGACTTGCGCATGTATCTGTTGATATTATCGTTGCTTTGTTTTTTTTCCTCGAGATATGATTCTATTATCTCATATCCTATTCATTGTATGGATTCACGGGGTCGTAAGCGGTGTATCTTAAGCGCTTCCTACTGAGTTTTATGCTCACCCCATCATTTTAACATTTTTCAAGTCACGAAAAAGAAGTGGTGGACGACGTTCCTCCACAGATTTGAATGGGTTAGTTGACCGTTTTATTATCTTATATATTTGTGATCTCATTTGTTTTGTATAAGCCTTGGGATGGCACGTACATTATGTATCGACCTTGGGACTTACCATAGTGCCCTTAGACGACCTCGGGTCCGGGTAAGGACCAGGTTAACAATTTGGAGCCTCGGGTTCGAGTCGTTACAAATTTAGTATCAGAGCTTTAGGTTCGAAAACCTAAAGACGACGGGTAAGGTTAACCTAAATGAGACTTTAGTTGATTTAGAAGTATTACACGTTAAAGTGTTATTGTTTTGTGAAGCATGTTTACTTGTTACTTGCTTATGTGTTACGGTTTTGAAAGACATGCTTTCTTGATAAGTGTTCAAATGTTTACGTGTTTAAATGCTAAAAATTGTGTTACATGGCCATATATGTGGAATAATTATATATGATCCAACTATGTAAATGAAATGTGAAAGTATTTGAAAGAATATTATACATGATAAGATAGAAAGTATGTGATACATGACAATGCAAGCAGTAGGTACGGTTGTTGCAATTTTCTTTTATGATAATGTGACAAGTAATGAACATGATATTTTGGGTTTCATTCATTTTGTATATGTATATGTATCTATATATTTATGTGCGTTTATGCGGTCGAGTAAGGGATGGTTACTAGTACGTTAGAGTACTTGTCACGGTATAGATGGTTGTGTAAGTTTTGACCTGGATAGGCAAGGAGTTCGGTTACTCCAGGGTTGTTGGGTACTGGTTCTTATCGAATGACTGATGTCGACTTCTAGCTCGTGGACTCAGTTATTCAGTGTGTAGTCATCCTGATTTTCTTGTTACATTTTGTGCAGTGCTTAAGGCACGACTTTAGAACGGGTTCATATTTCATGGCATGGTGTCTTTGTTGTGTGTGAGTTTCTTGCATCGGTGGATGGGTCCCTGTGACCGTGGAGGTCAGGTGTGCGAGTGAGGGCTTCGAGGGAGAAAGGTATGACTTTAGAAGGTTAGTGTTTATGACTTGGGTCATGGTTTAGTGCGGAGGTTCTTTTCGAATCGATCGTAGTAAGTGTGACAGAAGTTGTTTTAGTCACTAATGTAGTCTTTGGGTTGTAGATGTGTACTGCGGGTGTTCTGATACGGTCTAAGGAAGTGTGTTGGTTACGATTGGTTGAGAGGTGATTCCCATTTTAGAAAACTACAAGAGCGTGTTGTGGGTAATTGACTCTCGGTGAGTTGATTGTATAGCTCTGTGGATAAGCGGGGTTATAGGTTGGCATGATTATTGAGAGAGTCTTGAGGTGGCATATAATGAT